AATCCTAGTTTTTTCCTATCTCAGAAGGAGGCGTTATCTTTACTATGTGGACAGCAAACAAACCTGCCCTCTGCTCCCCAAGAAGAAACTCTCTCTACCTTCCAAGCCTGTTTGCTGTACAAACATCCTTGAAAAGATATCCAGAACAAAAGTTGTGCACGTCCCTGCTTGTGAGCTGTACAAAAATGCCAGAGACTCAGGGAGGCTTGTCTCCCTACAGCAGTAGCACTGACGCCAGTGGGTGGTGGCTGTCATCTGTGAAGGTACTTCAGGCTGCAGGTCAAGCACAGAAGGCTGTTCAGGGTATAGTGTAGTGGTTCAGTGTGTAGACTCAGGAGTCAGGCACCCTGGGTTCAAATCCTGCTTCTGTCTCTATTTAACTGTCCCCTTGACCTCTCTGTGCTCCAGTTTCTCCTGCTGTAAAATGAGCAAAATAACCCTATCTCATTATTATTGTAAAGTTTAATGTATGAGTTTCTATATGCAGGGGCAGCGCGGGAAGAATGAGGCCACGCCAGTGTTAACTGTCGTTATTGTTAATTATCATGATGCAGCGAAGCTTGGGGTCGTGCCTGCTTTTCTGCATTTGTGGGCAAGCCCTGTAACCCACACAGTTCTCTCAGAGTCTGTCTCAGACATTTCTGGCAGAACACGGGGCCTTTGCTCCCTCCTTCCCACACTGAGTTAAAAAACGGGTCAGCAAGGGCTGGAGGGCTGGTGGTTTCAGAATCCGGGGCGTCAGACAGACTCGGGTTTAGATCCTGGCTTTGCCACGTGCCAGCTGTAGGGCCATGGCGAGCAGCCTCCCTGGCGGCCTCCGAGGCCGCGCTGCACAAGGCTCTGAGTGAAGGGCCAGTGGGCCTCCCCCATCGCCCCAAGGGACCCGCTCAGCACACGCTCTGCCTCATCCTCAGCCAGCGCCATTTTGATTGTCATCCTTGTCGTATTACTATTCAGCAAACACTTCTGCCTAAGGCGCCAGCCCAGAACATCTTTGCTCGTCTCCTCCAGCGCTCGGGAGCTCCCTCTGCCCCTCAGCCTCTGCACACCTCACACTCGGGGGCCCTCTCCCCTGCTGTCTGATCCCGCGGCCTCATAGCCCGCCACACTCCCCCTGCCCCGTCTCTGCACTCAAGTCCCTCCCCGCCGTGGTCTTCACATACGCAGCACCCATCTCCACCAACCCCACCCCACTCTTCAGTCCTCCCTCAGACCTTGCCTCAATTGTCCCCTCCCCAGGGCAGCCTTCCCTGACTTCCACCCAAGACTAATCAAGTCCCTGTGTTACTATTCCATTGGTTTTGGGGTGGGCTTTTTTTTTTTTTTTTTTGGTGAAAAGATTGTCCCTGAGCTAACCTCTGTGCCCATCTTCCTCTATTTTGTATATGGGATGCTGCCACAGTGTGGCTTGATGAGCCGTGTGTAGGTCCGCGCCCAGGATCGGAACTGCAACCCCAGGCCCCCAAAGCAGAGCATGTGAACTTAACCCCTGTGCCACCAGGCCGGCCCCCTTTAACATTTTCACTTGACACTCTGGGGGCCTGCCGGGTCCCCTCAGCTCCCACTGTTCCCCGCCCCCACCCAGGGTTTCCTTCTTCCAGCAACTGCATCTCTGGGGGGAAGGGGGCTCTCTCCACCGCTGAAGCTGCCGTCGCCCATGCAAAGGCAGACCAGGAATGCTGGGGATCAACACCCCCAGAGCAGCCTTCATCCAAGAGGACTGGAATTGGCGGATAAACACCCCAGCTCCCCCACCCCGCTCGGGAAACTCTGCCGAGAGCGCTCTCGACTGCCCGCAGAGGCTGCGGGCGGGACTGCGCCTAGTTGTCCGAGCGTAACCGCTTTATCACCGAGCCCCCCGTCGCGCCTCCGGCGCTTCCCTGTCTCGCTCCCCAGCCCCTTCCCGCGTCTCCTTGGGTTACCTCCCAAATAAATTCCTCGCTCTCGAATTTCTGTCTCAGGATCTGCTTCTGGGGGAGCCCAACCTAAGGCAGCAGTCTCGCTGTCGTGATGAGTTCCGTGAGTGTTTGCAGGCATCGGTCCCTCTCCGCCGGGCTGCATGGTGTCCGCCACCGTGCCTCCAAAGCCCGCACAGAGTCTGGCACGTGGTGGATGCTCGATAGACGACCCTGAGTCTCATGGCTGAGGTGGTCAGGCTGGCAACGGGGAGCCCTGCCCCTACTCCCATCCTCAGAAGCCCCCGGCTGGAAAGCTGCAGGGCAGGGGCGAGCTCTCTTCTTCTGAGCTGTAAAGGCCAGCCTCCACCTGCCTGGTGCCCCAGGCCACACAGCCTGGACAGCTGGGTCAGAGCCCCCAGGAGCCAGGACCCCGCATGACCCTTCCAGCCTTGGGAGGACTCCTTGGGTGTCCCTGGGGCAGATACACAGAGAGGGCGTAACTCCAGTCCTAAGGCTGCAGGGCCGGGGGCACAGCTGGGATCGAACGCCATGCCCAGCCCCCTCCTGCCCTCCCTGGCATCAGATCTTCCGGGAGCTCCCTGAGCAAGAGGCTGTTCCAGGGACAAGGGTCTACCCTACAAGGCCGCAGAGCAAGCTGGCATCTCCTGGGGGAGGATCTCTTCCCAGAGCCAGTGGTGACAGGAATTAGCCACAGCACCTGTGGTGAGGCTGGCCCCAGGGTCTCCTGGGGGAAGAGTGTGGGACTGGAAGGAGCTTCCCTCCGATGACTCAGCCTGAGCCAGCCAGGGGACGGCAGTGCCAGGCAGGAGGACATGGCGGGGGTCCCAGGACGTCTCTCCAGCTCAGTCCTAGGGTCAGCTGGAGCGGGTTCCAGCTCTGCCGATCACAAGCTGGGTGGATCTGGGTGGGCCACTCTGGACTCCAGCCTCCTCCTCTATAAAATGAACATAAACAGTCCCCTGCCTGTTAGGTGCAGGGGGGCTGAAGTGGGAGGTGGCAGGTCGAGCATGGCACTGTGCGTGGCGCGTGGCGAGCGCTCCGAGAACACGGTTCCACTGTCTATCTTGTGTCCTTTCACTGCCGTCGACATTCCTAGAGATGCAAGCATGATGATCCACTTTCCTCATAAGAGGAAACAGAGCCTGCACAGCCAGGACTCGAGGAAGGGATGGGGCAGGGGAGGGGGTAGAGAACCGAGTTGGGGAGGGATCTGGGTGAGGCTCCCTCGCCTACTGAACTTGGGGAGAAACCAACATACTTAGAGCATGAGAGAGGTTCCAGAACGTTCTGTTTGCTACTGTTTTGGCCCCCATGCCGATGAGGGGGGAGTTCTCACCATGACAAAGACAAGGAAGCTAGCTTATGGGTGAGGGAAGGGCTCGGGACAGTGCAGACAGGAGCTGAGAACTCTATGTCTTGGCCCGACCCCCACACTCCCCAGCAGCACTGGCCACTGCCCAGTCTCTCTCTTTATATCACTCCCTCTACTGCCCAGGGCAGGAAAAAAGAAGCCTCACTACCTCTACTCCATCCCACATAGAAGTCTTGATGCTGGGCTGGGGGTCAGGGCTCTGTCTAGGAGTCCAGGAGGGGTTCCTGGAAGAGGAGCCATCTGATCTGGGCTTTGAAGGATGAAGAGAAACTTCCTAGTTAGAGAAATCGTGTGTGTGAGAGAGAGAGTATGAGTGTATAGGAGGAGGTGTTCATTTTAATTAACAAGGATTTTCTGATCTTCTGGGGACCAGGCAGTCAGGAGGCCACAGACAAGACTGAGGCACAAGCCTGCCCCAAAGCAGCCCACAGCCCAAAACGGACAATCAAATAATAGCAATAACAGTAGCAGCTCCCACATTCTGAGCACATGCTACTGGGGTTCAGCACGTGAGAGGCACTCTGTGTTTGTCGACTGAATGAACGCGTAAATGAATCTTTCCGAAGGCAGCAAATCCTGCCCAGATTCCTGGAGATGAGAGGGAAGGCGCACAGGCCGAGGGGGCTGCATGTGCAAAGGCCTGGAGGTGGGGAAGTGATGGCCCTGCCTGGCAAGCAGCAGGAGGAGCTCTGAGCTCCCATATAGGGAGAGTCGAGGAGGGGTGTGGGCAAGAGTCTTGAGTGAACGCTGAGGAGCCAAGGCTGTCTCTTGTTCCTGCAGGTGTTGGGGAGCCACAGCCAGATTCTGAGCGGAAGGGAGGGCAAGATCTGAGGAGAGCATCAGGGACTGGTCTGGGCCTGCCTTGGCCTCTGAGAGTTTCCAAGAGAAAGACAGCCCAGGTCAGTCCCACCCTGGAAAGCCAGATCCATGGGGGGCAAGGGAGACAATGGACAGAGACAGAGAGAGATAGGGCATAGAGGAGGAGAGAGAGAGAGAGAGAGAGAGGGAGAGGGGACCCTGAAGAGACAGAGAGAGAGAAAGACAGAGAAACAGAGAGAGTCCAAGACAAAAAGACCAAAAGAGACAGGGAGACAGAGACAGATGGAGAGAGACACAGAGACAAAGAGGGATGGAGAGAGATGCAGAGACAAAGAGAGATGGAGAGAGACGCGGAGACAGTCACTGAAAGAGAGACAGAGGGAGAAGATGATGAGACAGAGACCCTCCAGAAAGAGGTGGGAGCAATCCAGGGAGGTCCCTGGGGGGCAGCAGGAGATGGGATGGGGTCCTGACCACAATATCTGGAGGCAGGACATAGAAGGGAGAGGGGAGAACAGGAGTGTCCCCACCCCTTGCACCCCTACTCTGCACCCACCCACAAGCCCTCTCCAGCCCTCCCAACCACAGATGGGGAAAGTGAGGCCAGCCGGCAGGCGGCTGGAGTCCTCCTGGGCCAATGCTCTGCCCGCACACCCACACGGGACCTGTGTCACCAGGTTAAAACGGAAACGGGTCGGGCCTTTTTTTTTTCCTTTGAGAAAATCCTAGGCCCAAATAAGGCCAGGGCTGCAGGAGCCGGTGAGCTGGCCTGGCTCTCCTGCCGAGCGAGTGGCGGCTGGCCCGGCCTGGGCTTGGGCCTCCTCCAAGACTCGCCTGGCAGCAGGGCGGTGCGCCCGCCTGCGAGGCTATAAGGGCCCTCCTCCGCCCTTGCTGCTCACTCGCCACCCACCGCAGGCCCTCCACACCCGTGCCCCCACTGCCCAGCCATGGAGGCCATCAAGAAGAAGATGCAGATGCTGAAGCTGGACAAGGAGAATGCCATCGACCGGGCCGAGCAGGCTGAGTCAGACAGGAAAGCTGCCGAGGAGAAGTGCAAGCAGGTGAGGTGCCGTCTGCTGGGCCACACCAGGCTGCCCAGCACCCTCTCTGAGTTGGTTTCCTGCCCCAGAAGGCGAGGCTCTGGGGCCAAGGGTAAGGGTCTGGGAACCCTTGGAACTTGGAGGTTGGGGCAGAGACAGGAGTGACACTCCGGCAAGAAAGAGTGAGGGGACCATGGCGTTCCCTGGAGGGCTCCCTGGGCTGGGAGAGGGGCAGCCCGACCCACCCCCGCAGGGCACAAGGGAGCAAAGTGGGAGAGAGAGCGAGAGAAAGGGAGGGGTGCCTGTGTGCCAGCTGTGCATGCAAACGTGAGTGAGCGGTGTGTTGGGGTGAGTATCGGTGGGGCGGCGTTAGACAGGGTGGCTGGGGGGACGCTGTGTGTGTGTGAAAGGTGTGTTTGTGCGTGTCGGAGCATTTCTGTGTGTGCATGTGTTGTGTGTCGTGTGTGTGTGTTTCTGCTGGAGAGAGTGTGGAGGGGTGAAGGTGACCATGAGAATGAGAGAGGCATACGTGTGTGGTTATTGGAAAGTGAGTGTGAAAGAGTGTGGAAGTGTTTGTGAGCCTGTGTGTGTGTTGATGGTGGTGTCAGCCTGGGCTTGTGTGTAGGGGGGAGAGGCTGGCTGTGTGTGCTTGTGCAAAAGTTGGCATGACAGTAATGGAATATGTGTGTGCCAGGATGAGTGTGTGTGTGTCGAGGTGACTGTGTTGGCCTGCGTGTGCTTGTCAGGGTGACTGTTTCTGTTGGGGGGGGTGTGTGTACACATGTGTCGAGGCGAAGGTGGCAGTGCGGGGCTGGGGGTGAGTGTGGCTGACCCTGTGCCCGTGTCACGGCACACCCAGGTGTGACTGTGAGCCTGTGAGTCCGCATGGGCGACTGTCCAGGGAGGGTGGCCGAGTGTGCATGCGTGGTGGGGCCCGTGTGGCCACGGCAAGGGCAGCTGGATGAGGGTCTGGGGACCTGGGTGGTTGGAGATTCAGGGGGGACCCTGGCAATCTCAGTGTGTTCCTGCATGTCTGGGGTGCCCCTGCCATGCCCACGAGGAGCCTGGGGGCAGGCAGAGGTGCCCGAAGCAAGCACAGGCCCTGGGCCCAGATCTTTGGGGATGAGATTCCCAGGAGACCCTGGTAACAGGGGGAGATCAGGAGCTAATGGGGGGACCGCGGGCAGAGGCCTGGGCTGGGCAGTCCCAAAGCCATGGCTGGGTCAGAGCGGAAGTCAGCTGTCCAGTCTGGGTGGCCAGGGCAGCGGGCAGGAGGAGAAGAGGGGGTCCGACCCATCCATAGCACCCTGCCCCCACGGGGCTCACTCATGCCCTCGGGGTCAACCGTCAAGCCCTCTGGAGCAACAGGGTCTCAGATAAGCCCCAGGAGCCGCCCAGGACAGTGATGCCAAGTGCCCAGCCCAGATGCCAGGCCGGCTTGGCAGGTAAAAGCACAGGGTATGAGCTCAGACTGGCCCTGCTCGGGGCTCAGGCGCTGGGTGCCCTGAAGCAAACGCATTCACCTCTCTGTGCCTGGGCGGCCACCCGTGTGAGATGGGGAAGTAACAGTGGTGTCTCCCTCGCCATCATGGGAGGACAAGAGGTAGCTGGGCAGGCGGAGCCCTTGCCCTGGCGCCTGGCACAGAGTAAGCACTCAAGAAACATGGGATTATTTCCTGCCCCGCCCTATTTCCCCTTTGGGCCTGCCCATCCCCCAGTGTCCCAGAGCTGTCCTAAGCACCTGTGACACATCGCACAGGCGTGCCACACCCCAGGGCTTCCTGCCAGGAACTCTGCTCCTCCCTCCCCGGGTCCCTCCCTGGCAAACACAGACAGCCATCCTGAGCTGGCCCTGAGCTGCTGGCTGCCATCATTCAGCCCTCACCATGAGGGGTGTAGCCAGGGATTCTGAGAAAAGCAAGTCGATGGCTCTAATTCTCATTAAGGTGTGAGTGACTGATAGAGCATAACCTCCCAAGGCAGACACAAGGTCAAAAGGGAAGGCTCCTCAAAGCCCCCAGCCAGCTGTGTGGCCCAGGAGGCAGGGACAGATTCTCTGGCCTCCACTGGATTTTCATTGTGCTCTTTTTTTCTCCACAAAGGCACCCATTGGGGTGGACTTGGGCAGGAAGCCAGCTGGACTGTGTTCCAGCTTCGTAACTCAGGGCAAGTTGCTGCCCTTCTCTGAACCCTCAGTGCTCTGATCTGAGAAATGGAGGCAAATGATGCCTTTCTGATGGCTGGGCCTGGAACCCAGGGCCCCCGAGGCCCAAAGCAGGAGCCAGATTCCCACGGGGCCGATGGCCTGCCCTGCCTGGGAGCAGAGGCAGGAGGGGGCGAGGGACTCAACTTACCCCGAGTGCCTTACACTCCCAGAGGCCAGGGAGAGGGGTCTCAGGGCCAGCCCAACCCTCGGGGACCCCAAGCAAAGTGCTGATTCCAGGCCCTGTCCGTCCAGCGTGGGAACGGGACCGGGAGCCCAGCCTGCCTGCTTCCCGCCCGCTCCCCTCCCAGGGCAGTGACATCCGCCACAGCTGGCCTTTGACCCCACATCCTGCCTCAGTCCTGCCCAAAGGCCCCATTTACAGGGACTAAGGTGTGCAGGCTGTGACCCACCCAGTCATTTTATAGGCAGGGAAACTGAGGCTCAGAGAAGAAAGTGATTTGTTGGAGACCTCCCAGAGCCAGGGCAAGCCTCCGTCCCCAGCAAGGTGCCACCAGCTGGCACACCCTGCGCTTGGAGCTCAGACAGAGTGAAAGAAACCCGATTTGTGTCAGTCTTAGTTATTTTTCATACCCAGTTCCAACTACTGAAGGGGTGGAGTGTGTCATTGATTCACTCTGCAAACTTGCCCTGAGTTCCACGGCGAGTGTGGAGCCCAGCCCTGTGCTGGACGACGCTGGGGCTCAGAGTGACCTCAGCCCCTCGCCTGACCTGGGCAGCCCCAGGCTGGGGGATGAAGGCTAACATGGAGGGACACTCCCTCCCCCAGGGGTCAGGGCTAGGCCAGAGGAAGGGACAGAGCCTGGGAGGACCCAGGGGGGAGGCGAGGGCTCTGCCCAGGGCAGGAGGCCGCAGGGCGGGGGCACTGGCTCGGTGGAGGGTCAGCAGGAGGAGGGCATGCCAGGCAGTGGGTACAGCACAGCCTCAAGGTCAAGAAACCAGCTCTGGAGTCAGTCAGACAAGGGTTCAAAGCCCCATCTGTATGGCCTCGGGCAAGCCCCTTCCTCATTCGGGGACTCAGTTTACCCTTCTATAACAGGGGGCTTCGTGGCATTTGTACTGTGCCTGGCACCTTCTAAATTCTTCATGGCCCCTGCCCACCTCATCCCAGGCCCCAAATGTTGTCATCCCAGCGTTGCTGTAAAAAAACATCAAAACCCCACCCAGCCTTTCCCCGTGCCTGCACACAGTTGGCACCCAGTGGACGCTGCCCCCACAAAGCAGGAAGGAGCTCAGATGGATGCTGGGTCAGGTTGACCCGTCTTTAAAGAAACCGGCTCACCGTCTCCGTCAAGGCAGAAGTTGGAAAGCAACTGCCAGGGTGCTCAGAGACCACCACGTCAGGGCTTCCATTTTGCAGACAAGGAAACTGAGGTCAGAAAAGGGGACGGGGTCATACAGCTGGGATTTGGAGACAGGCTTCCGGGCTCCTTGCCTGGAGGTCAAGGTCAGGCCCCACAGCCCCTGCCTTAGGCCTGAGCTGCTTCCACGCTCCCCGCCCTCAGCTCAGCAGCTGGAGACGAGAAGCCGTGTGGTGCCAGGAGAGGGGCTCTCTGGAACATTTGCACTTCAAGAATTTGTGCATGCACACACACACACTCACACAGCATCTGGCACATTTGCACATCATCTCAGGCATGTAACTCAGATCAGATTCGGAGCCCGATCTAGAAGCTGCAGGCACAGCAGCTTTTATAGCATATTTTCTTCAGGAAAGAAGAGAAGAGAAGGAAGTCAGGGATGCGGGAAACCAGGCCCGCAGGAGGGCCTGTTCAGAGAAGTGGATTCAAATGCTGTGCTGTGTGACCTGGGGGAAGTCACTCCACCTCTCTGGGCTTCCTGCTGTGAGAGGGAAGCAGGAAGATGAAACAGGGCCCAGTGAGGGCTACCTGTCCAGCCTACGAGCATGGTCAGGACCAGGGGTCAAAGCATCCGAGACAGGAGTCAGATCAAGCCAGCACAAGCTGGACTGAGCACCCCAGCCCAGAGCTCGGAGTTGGAGAGAGCATGAAGCCTGGGGGTGACAGAGAAGTCTCCCTGGCCAACCCTTGCCTGGGGGGTGGAGGGTGATGGAGAGGGAGAGGCGAAGGTGTCTGTGGCTTGTATCTCATAGATCTGAGCGTCTCAAACTGAGGGTGCCGGGAGCGGGGCAAGACTCGAGATGAGCCCGGCTGAAACCGCAGGGAACGCAGGGGACATTTTGATTAAAATGAACACGAGCCAGACCTGCAAGAATTTAAAAGATTTAACCCGAGCCTTCAAGGAAAGTGGTCTTTGAGGGGTAGCTCTCTTCTAGCCAAGCCCCCAAAGTCCAGGAGCAGGGGGAGTCTAAGCCCTTCAGTCCTTCCAGGTATTTTGTGAGACAGTCTGCAAACCACTCTCTTGGGCAATGGGGAGCCATGGCAGATTCTAGGTAGGCGGAGGACAAACATATACTACAGGTTGGGAGTAGGGGATGGTCCAGGCCCAGAGAATGAGAGCCCCTTTCTGTTTAACCCCAGACCACGGGGAGGCTGCACCCCTGAAAGTGGGATGCAAAATTGAACGTGTGTTTCCAGGAAACGTGTGGGGACGTTTTCCCAAAAGCTATAATCGATTCCCCAAGAATACTGGGGGGAGCTCCAAAAAGATAACAACGGCAGCGGGTCCCGGGAAAGGAAAGGTTGTGGAAATCGTATTACCAGGGAGCGAACACTGAGCGGTGCACAGTAGAGTTCTCCCTGTTTTACGGCTGAGGAAACTGAGGCTGAGAAAGACAGAGGACTCTCGTGAGTGTGGGGCACGCCCCTGCGCCGCGCGGACGTGGCCCCCGGCTGACGCGCCCCTCATCTGTCCCCAGGTGGAGGAGGAGCTGTCGCACCTCCAGAAGAAGCTGAAGGGGACGGAGGACGAGCTGGAGCAGCGCTCCGAGGCCCTGCAGGACGCGCAGGAGAGGCTGGAGCAGACGGAGAGGAGAGCCGCCGACGTACGTGCGCAGAGCCGGGCGGGCGGGCGCGCGGGCGAGCGCCCGAGGAAGCGGAGCAGCAGGAAGAAGGGGAGGCGGCGCCTCCCGGCGCTTTCTCCAAATAAGTCTGGGACAGGGGCACTTTCCCGCAGCTGCGACCAGCGGTGCCGACGGCAGGCCCTCCCCCAGCGGTGCTGACGTCGGCGGCCGGGCGGGTGACCTCAGCGCCCCGCCGGCGGCCGGGCCGGGGGCGGGGAGAGGCGGGGCTGGCCGGGCGCAGGCAAAGGCTCGGGCCGGGCGCGGCCGCTGCAGCTCTCGCCGGAGCCGAGCCGAGCCGCGCGCCCGCCGCCGCCGCGTGCGCCCCCGCGCCTCCGCGCCATGGCCGGCCTCAACTCGCTGGAGGCGGTGAAACGCAAGATCCAGGCCCTGCAGCAGCAGGCGGACGAGGCGGAGGACCGCGCGCAGGGCCTGCAGCGGGAGCTGGATGGCGAGCGCGAGCGGCGCGAGAAAGTGAGCCCGCTCCCGGCCCCGCGCCCCCCGCCCGGCCCGGCCCGGCGCGCCCCTCCCTGCCCTCCTTCCCGCGCTCCCCGGCCGCCCGCCCGCCGCTGCCCGCGCCAGGAGCCCGCTTTCGCGCCTCGGGCCCCGCCGCTCCCCGATCGCGGCCCCGCACCCAGCGGGCCGGTCCCGGAGACCCCTTCCTCCGCTGCCATCCTCTCTCCTCGGCCGGGGACGGGGGAGGGGGCGCCGCGTCCGGGTCGGGTGGGGCTGGCCGAGCGGGAAGTGGGGGGATGGGGCCGAGGGGGATGCGCGATCCCGGAGCGGGGAGAGGGGTAGGGGCACGGCGCCGCCCTCCGACTCGGGCCTGGCGCCGGAGTCCCGGGCGGTGGGGATCCGCGACTGGACCCGGGAGCGGGAAGTGAGAGTGGAAACGTTGAGTTTCCATTGTCTGGGGCTGGAGTGACTGTCACGGACCGGGGGCGGGGGTGTCGCACTTTCTCGCCTCTTCCGCCGCTTCCCGGCTCCCGCTGAAACTTTCCCAGCTGTTCCCAGGGGCGCGGCGGCGACGTGTCTGCTCCCGGAGGGGGGCGGAAGTTCAGCCCGGAGCCGAGGCCTTTCCCTCCCCAGCTGCCGCCCGCGGGAACCAGGGCCACGGGACCCCGCCTTCCTCCAGAAGCCCCTTGGAGTGTTAGGGCCGGGCCCGCGACCCTGGGATCGTTTTGTGAGCCTCCGCTGCATGTCGCGGGGCCTGAGGCAGATAATGGGGCTGAATGAGGAGGGGCCCTCACCGCCCTCTCTCCATCCCCTGACTGTCCGTCGGGACGGGACAGATGGGGGCAACCCCTGGGGCTGGGGAGAGATCTGTGTTCTCTTCCCATCTCGTCCCACTTGGTCCTTAACCCCTAGGAGCGTTATGTCCCCATTTGTACAGTAGCGCTGACAATAATGCCGACCTAGGATAGCAGGGAGGGGCCCAGGAGGAAACCTTCCCTGCATAGCATCAGGCACTTACTAGGCGCGCGATTGGTGTTTTTTTCCCTCCCCTCCCTCTGCCCCCAGAAGAGCTGACAGTCTAAAGGGGTGGGAGGCTGATTAGCGTTCCGCGGCTTTTCTGGGCTCTGTTAGGAGAACATGACGTTGAAGCAGCCAGCCAGTGGGGTTGGCTTCAAAATGGAGGTTGAGCAGGGTCTTATAGAATACGTTTTGAGTTTGCTGGGACAAGAGACCTGGGTGTACAGAGACTCAGACCAGAAAATTGGGGGGAGGGTGGAAGCCCAGGGTTCCTGGAGCAGTGGCACTCTGGTTGGGGACCCCGGAGTGGAAAAGATGTCTGGCCAAATGGAATTGCCATGTGTATTGACCGGTCTGGGGAAGCGCCCAGACTGCTCAGCGCTTGCCTGCGTCTGAGCTCTAATCCTGCAAGGGCTGCTCTGGCCTGAGGAGGCCTCAGAACCCCAGTGTACGCCTCCACAGTAGCTGGCTGGCCTCCTTCACACGGAACCGGCATATCCCGCACTCTGATCTCAGCCCAGGCCGTCTCATGGGAGGACAACTCCTTCTTAAAAATGGCCCTCCGCCCGAGCCAAGACCTGGGAGTGGGACAGTCCAGTCGGCAGGAAAGATGTTTTTGGAAAGTGTCGGGCGTCCTTTTAAGAGTTCACTTTTCAAAGCATGCTTCTCTTGGTCAGGAAAGGGAGAAGCCTGAACAAGGGTCCTGGGCAAAGGAATTGAGCCAGAGGGAAAAAACCTTCCTCAGCCTCTGGTAGAGAAAGCCAGGAGCCGGCGTGTGGCCGACTTCTGGGTCTGCCTCCGACAGCTGGTTTCATTTAGATTTTTGTGTGATTAACCGACATCTTCCTGTTCCTTTGCCACATGTATCTAGCAAGCCTCTTTTACCTTATAAGGGAAATCCTTTGTAGAGTGTAGAAGCTTTGATTGCAGGAATGGGTGGAGCCCAAAATGACTAGCAGTGACTAGCAGTTTTTCCTGAAACATACATGTGGATGTATGTGCATGGATGTGTGCCTCTCCGCATTCTTTTGCTTCCAGACAGTTGAAAATGTGCAAAGAGTGTGGTTGTCAGGATTCAGAATTGCCCACATAAGCAGCGGCTCGCTTTTTTTAAAGACCACTCAGGAAGCAGGCACCTCTGTATGATCTTCAAAAGTAATTCCTTGACTGCTGATGCAAATGGGGTTTCTTTTGAGGGGCGACGAACATGTTCTGAAATTAGATACTGGCGTTGGTAGTACAATTTTGTTAATGTACTAAAAACCACCGGAGAAAAAAGTCAATTCCTGTCCCGGTGGCTGAAGAAGTTGAGACTCATGTCGTTGTGAAGAACAAAAGACACCCACTTGTTGGAAGCAGGCCATGGTTTTGAGGGATCCTCCGAATTGGTGTTTCAAAGGAGCTGCCGTCAAAAACGCCTGTGGCAGTTTCCCCTCCGCGTGCGGCCAGGCCTGGGCTGGGAAGGCTTCCCGAGCTCTGACCTCATGGTGCTTCTCCATCTTAGCGGGTCAACTCGGGGACGGGGGAGAGCAGTTTCCCCTTCGTTTGTACGTCTTCCTCACTTCGGGGGGTCTTACCTGTCTTGACAGGAAGAAGCCAGAGTGGCCCCACCCGTGCCTCCCCTTCTCCCCTCAGTTGGGCCCCTTTTTCACCAACTCTCGACATCCCTTCCTAAGCGTGCCGGCCTTGAAGCCCCCGTAGGACGGGGGGCGAGGGGCAGGGCGTGTTCAGAAAGGAAAGAACCCTGGGCTGGGGCTCAAGAGGCCATTTCTCTGGGACACTGAACAAAATTTCCCCTAGCTGGGCCTGTTGGGCTCCCTACCTGTAGAATGGGCGAGACAGGCGAGGAGCAAGTGAGGGGACCGTGGCCGTGAGAGCTGCTCTTTTGTGGGGCTTCCCACCTGCCAGGTGCACGCCACGGCCTTCAGTCACAGTCCTCACAGCCGCGGGAAGAAACCAGGTGCAGGAGAGGCTCGGCGCTGAAGCCTCCTGCCCAAGGCCACGTGGCTACAGACTGGCCAAGTGGGGATTCTGACCCAGCCCTTTGACCTGGGATGCAGTTCTTGCTTTTATGCTCGCCACCACATGACCTTTGTAGGTGAAGGCACCTGGAAAAGCCATTCCCGCTGTTCACACCTCTTCTGTGCCTGTAACCAAGTTTTCTTTCCTTTCTTCTATCCTTTTGTCCCGTCGTGTCTCAGCCAGACCTAGTTAAGGATGGTGCTCCCACTGGGCTGCCCCTCCCTCCACCAGCTGCACGGCCAGCATTTGACTGAGGCTTCCATGTCCTTGCGTTTACCTTGCCATTCAGGCGACTGGGAGCAGAACCTAGTACATGACAGGGTGAGCCGGCTCGCTGGTGGCCTTGCTCTCCAGGAGCCCCACAGAGGCCAGCATTGTGCTCTCACAGCACGCGGTGTACTTGTCTCTTCCATGCTGACCCGAGCGCCCATCCTGTACGGGGACACACACCTTTGTCACTGAGCGGCAGATGTTCCCTGATGTTTTTGGGGAAGATCATATGGAAAATTCACCTTCTCCAGACCAGAGGGTGAATCCCTTACCGCCTTGATTCCCGAGTGGGACGCGTGTTAGCTCAGGGAAGGGCGCCGTGTGACAGGGGCTCCCGCTGCTGGCTGGCGTGTTACTTCTTAACCTGGCTGCCCCTCTGACCTCCCCAGGCCGAAGGGGATGTGGCAGCTCTCAATCGACGCATCCAGCTCGTGGAGGAGGAGTTGGACAGGGCTCAAGAGCGACTGGCCACAGCCCTGCAGAAGCTGGAGGAGGCAGAAAAGGCTGCAGATGAGAGCGAGAGGTAAGGACACGTTGAACCTGGTAACGTTAGTGTTTGCTTCTGGAAAACAGGGATCATCCTGCCCAGAGCTGGGGTGAGTCGCTGGGATCACACGGACGTGCACGTGTGCACATATGTACAGAGGCATGACAGCGCCTCGTAAAGCATCATGCTGTGTGTAGAGGTGTTCGTCATTGTGGTGGTTACGAAGAACTCCCGACAGGCAGACAAAGGCAAAATGGGCAGATGTAAGACGGCAAGTGTGACTGCCACTGGGGATCCGTTGCAGAGCACTGTTTCCCGTGTTCTCTCTGAAAGCCACTGCGCATGTCGTCCATGTTCTCAAGACATCAGCTTCCAGGGTGATGTGAGAAGTGGGCAGATGAAAAGGTGGCATGGGCCCTCTGCACAGATCATTGTTAACAGTGCTGTCAGGCAGGCTTTGGGCTCCTGAATGGTGACAACTCCATGTCAGGAACACACGCAAACCAGCGCTGTTAACGTACTTGCACGCAACAGTGCCCCTGGCCTCCGTGGCGTGAGGTGCCGTGTCCTCCAGGGCGGGCTCGTCCTCTGGCACGCCTTGGCGCAGGCTCTGGAGGACTGAGGGCAGATTGTGCAATTCACAGAAGCAGCCGTCTCTGTGGTTGGTAAATGGGTTCCTTGTGTGGTGATGGTGTGGGCCAGGCCAGTGGCCACTGCGGATCTGCCACACGATACACCAGAATTCTCATTGGACCCATCCGCCAGGGTTTTCTGGTCTAAACTCCTCCAGAGGATTCATTCCTGATTGTACTGTTGTGACCATAAACTAGAGATTCAAAACCAACTGGGGGATCTTGGAGACTGACTTTTCTCGTTGCCCATGTGGGAAATTTCTTCCTGGGCGGGGGAACGGCCTGCGCCAAGGGCACAGACCCTGGTGCAGGCTCTGCTTCAGCCACTTAATAGAGGAAGAGAGTGGCAGCTCAGGGCAGCCACTGGCAAGTGTGAAGGGTCTGGTCACAAGTTGCTCATGGCTGTGCCTGGGGCCTGGATTAGCTGTTGCCCATGTTCACTGTCAGACCAGCCTGGCCGGATGTCTCACTCCCAGGACCTCCCCAGGACAAAGCCAGAGAGCCTGGGAAAGCTTCTCACTTGTTTGTACCATGTCATCTGGGGCCTTTGCTGGCACCCTTGTTGGAGACTGCTGCGTTTTGGTAAAAGGAATTCTATCCTTGGGAGCTGGAGGATCCAGATTCAAGTCCTTCCACTGCCACGTACTGTGTGGCCCTGGGCAAGTCACTTTGCTCTCTCCAGGCCTGCAGAGGGTTTTCTGGGCTTGCTCACATGCTGATCCTGAGGCCGTGTACAGGTGCGAAGGTCATTGTGGACAGTTAGCCGCGCATGGTAGTGACAGGACGAATGAAAGGGTTTATTAGGCAGCAAGAAGTACGTGGTCCTCGGCTCAGGCAGGCACGACACGCCCGGATGCATTACCCTGGGTTGGCCTCTTCTGTGGAAGGGTCTGATCTTACCTAGTCCACTCCAAGCAGTGCAGCCAGAGTGAGCACATCTTGTGCCGGCTGAGTTGTGGGAGACTTCTAGCCGTCCCCAGATCACCGTCCTTTCCAAGCCAGACGTATCCACTTCAGTTCTGGCCCTCCTCACCCCTCACCTTGTTGGTACCTGCCTCGCACCTGGTTTTCCACTGCAGTCCATCCATCATTCTGGTGTCCACTCCCTCCTGCTTTTGAAATCCTCCTGTGGTTCCCTCTTCCCTTGGCATAAACCCTTAGCACGCCCTTCAGGCACACAGCCTGTGGTCCAGCCACCCGGGCCTCCCTGCTGAGTTCTTTCATTCCCCCGGGCTTTCCTGTGCAGCTCTCCCTGAAGAGGAACTTCCCCTCTTCTTGCGGACTCTCTTCTGGACAGCCTTCCATGGCACATGCACACCCCTCCCCCTGCAGCAGAATTCATCCTTCCCACAGCCAGGCTGGCCCAGACCTCTCCTCACCTCGGGTTAACTGTTGGCATACGGGTACGCCTTATTACTAGCTAGTGAGGCGATAGAAAGGGGAGCACAGACTCTGGAGCCAGACCACCAGGGCCTGAGCTGCAGCTCTGCCACTTACTAGCTCCGTAACCTTGAGCAAGTTACTTAGCCTCTCTACGCCCCGCATCCTTCCTCTGTGAAATGGGGTACTGTCCTCACTACTTCATGAAGCAGCTGTAGGGTTGGATGCACTTAGACAGTGACCGGTGCTCAGTGAAGATGAAGGGCATGTGAGCAGCCCACAGCTCCCTCTTTGGAGTCTGGCTCTCAGTAGCTACAGAGAAGCGTTTAGACAAGCAGATGCTTGGAGGTGTAAGACGAGGCGGGAATGTTATTTGGCAGTAACGATGAGGTTGCTCCTTGCAGAGGAATGAAGGTGATAGAAAACCGGGCCATGAAAGATGAGGAGAAGATGGAGATTCAGGAGATGCAGCTCAAAGAGGCCAAGCACATTGCTGAGGAGGCCGACCGCAAGTACGAGGAGGTGAGTGGGGCTGGCAGATGGCGGCAGCAGGAAGAGGGGAGGAAACGGATCTTGATAGGGAGACCCTGGGGCCGCCTAAAGGAAGCTCTTGGTTAGGGCAGCTGTCCTTCTGCGCCCACTTCTTCCTTTCCAGAGACAGCCACTTGCCTAGGAAACACTATCTTCCACAGTGTCACAAAGTCCTGGGGAATTCTGTGACAGTTGTCTAACTTGGGGGGAAACCAACTGATCAAATCACTTTTTGTCCAGCAGCGGGGGGTTTTGGCAAAGTTAGGCTAAAACTGGGAACCGTGGTCCCCCGCGGTGGGCCTTCAGACCCTGAAAGCTCAGTTGCTCTCCTGCCTGCCTTTGTGATCTCATCTCCTCCTTCCCTGCCTGCCTGCCTCACGCCTGGGGCCTGAGGCTTTTCTCCAGGACTGTCTGAGCTGAAGCAGCAGCAGAAAGCCCACCTTGCGGATGGTCTGGGTGTCGTCTTGCTATCTGCATGGGGGAGGGCATCCTGCGAGACGTGGCTGTTAGGGGTCAGTCTCAGTCAGTCCTCTCTCTCTCTGCAGGTAGCTCGTAAGCTGGTCATCCTGGAGGGAGAGCTGGAGAGGGCAGAGGAGCGTGCCGAGGTGTCTGAGCTGTGAGTGCAGAGCAGGGCCGAGCAGAGCCCCGCTCAGCTCCTGGGCTGCAGTGGGAGGGCCTGGCTGGGTTGGGGTTTGACTCTAGCTGGGGCCTCTGGGCAAGTGGATGGGCGTCTGGGACTCACTGTTCAGTCCTTCCCCTTTGCCTCATGGCTGACAAAGAGGGTTGGCAACTGTTTTCCTTGCTGCCCACATGTTGACTCTTCCCACAAAGCTATTGGGAAATAGGAGTGAGGCGGGCGGCAGTAGAGAAGCCTGAAGTCTCATTCTCCCAGAGAGGATGGCTCAGGAGGTGGTGCCTTCTTCACAGAGCGCTGGCCTGTACCAGGCCGGCTGCCCCTGTGGTGTTTCATGCCTTGTTCCTGATGTCATTGCTTGTCGTGATACATTCCTGGGGGAAAGGTGAGACACTTGCCCAGAATCCTGCAAGCTCCAAAACCCCAGAAGCCTCTCCCCTCGGCCTGGGGGGAGGAATGCAGCTCCACGGAGCGCCCCGCCACGCTGAGGGAGGTCTGGTTTTGCAAATCCGTTCCAAGCGCACTTCCTGGAGTGTCCAGTGTAAACTCTGATGGCTGTCCCCCAGCCTCCTGCACTCCATCCCATTCTCACACCTTCCGGAGCCTGCCTCGTCAATCACGGGTTTGACAAGTCCCCGTGGCCTCAGCCTTGGCGGGAGTCCAGGAGTGCTTCACTGACCTTCCACATGCTTCTCCGCCTGCTGCGCCTCTGCCTGGCACGATCGGGTTTTGATAAGTACACAGCGCTAGTCTCAGAGAAAGCCATTAACGTTTTTCCCACATTCCTTCTGGGGGCCCCAGGCAGCGTGGATTCCTCCTCTTGAAAACTTCTTTTAGGAGGATTTGCCATGAGGGAGGATAAGACACAAAAATCCTTTTTCTTTGCACAGAAAATGTGGCGACCTGGAAGAAGAACTCAAGAACGTCACTAACAACCTGAAGTCGCTCGAGGCTGCGTCTGAGAAGGTTGGTGGCTGGCCTCAGGCGCTGGGGGACTTGCCGGACTCTCTTCGCTGCTTCCCCCACGGCCCATGGGAGCGTGCCAGGTGTCAGGGACCTGCCTGTGTTTGCTCACAGCAGCTGGTGCCCGGCAGTGAGGTTTGGTGCCCCCACGGAAAGAGGCATCCCGTGGCTGGATTTCCCTCTTCCGTGGGGTCTCAGCATCATCTCTCATCCCACCTCCAGTGAGGGTGGAGGTGGCCTATGAGATTGGTACCTGGTCAGGCTCCTCTTGGGGAGATCTGAGCATAATCGTATAAATACGGAGCCTCACTCTCAACTGAGTCCCCTGACTCTCAACTGAGTCCCCTGGTTCCTCCAGAAACATCTTCTCAAAGGTTGGGCGGCAGATATCAGGGGTGGAATTGGACTTTTTAGGTTGAAATAGTACTCAAGGCAGTCGCTCCAGGAGAGAACCGCAGGGGAGCAATGTACACACTCGTGCCTGGCCAGCCCCGCTGAATTCCCCGTCCTCATCTCTTCCTCACCCTCCCGCCTCCTGCTACTTTCCCGTGGCATTGAACTTCAGTTTCACAAACATTCCGTGTTCTCCCGTCACCTCTGGTTCTTTGAGCCTGCTGTCCACTCAAGCCGGGAGTGGCCTTCCCTTTTCTCTTTGAGAACCCCCAATTCATCCTTCAGGCCTCTGCTTAAACAGCACTTCTTCTGAGAGGTCTTACCTAGTTCCTCATCTGGGTTAGGTGTTTCTTGGCTTTGTAGCCCCACCTGCTTCTGTTCCTCTGGTGATGGTTGATCATACTTAGCTTAATTAATTAATTGCATGGCTTCCTTGCTAGACTGTAAACTTTAAGGCCAGGGACTGTCTCTGTCTTGGTTAGAGCTGTGTCACTGGTACTAGCGTTGTACGGGCACGTCTTTGACACTGGGGTACTTGATGAAGAAATGCAATCCGTGTGTGCAGGCCACCTGCCGCCCCGGGCCACAGGATAGTGTCAGCAGCGAAAGTACGGCTTCTGCGCTTGTGAGAGCTCCGAGTCTCGTTGAGGGGGAGAGACTGACAAAGTGACAAAGTGTTTTGGGACTTCAACAGAGGGCCTTTGGAAAGGTACAACGAAGGAGTGACGTCTACAAAGGCTGTAAAGCAGGATGATGACCAGGAGCTCAAATCCCAGAGCGCGGTTCCAGTCATGGCTTGGTCACTTCATAGCCCTGCGAGCCTAGACAAATGACTTAACTTCTCTGTGGCTCTTTACTCAACTATAAAATGAGATTAAGGACATCTGGCAACATGTGAGCAATTAACTGAAGTTAGCTTATACGAATCTGAGTTAAGCCTTGAAGGACGCATAGAATTTCTAAGAGGTAGTAATGGGGAAAGGAACGTTCCATGCTGGGGGACTCAGCCATAGTCAAGGGCTGGGGGACTGGAGAGTACACGGAATATGTTGAGGAGGTGGCAAGTGGGGTAGGAACAGATTAGGCACAACTACTGTGAAGGGCCTTGAGCCGAGTGCCTTCCATTCAGTCATCTGCCACGCCTTCATCATACTTTGACCTCAAGTTATCAGCTCAGGCCTTCAGAGCACCACCGTCCCAGAGGGGTGGCCCACAGACTCTGAGTCCCACACACATTTCTGCCTGCAAAGGTCCACGCCTCTCCTTTGGTTCTTAGGCCAGTTCGTAGCGCTTCAAGCACACACTTTCCTCCAGGGAACACGGAGCCTGCATTCTCTTGTGCTCTTTTTTCCTCCTTTTTTTAAAGCAGTGTTTTGGTTTCTCCCATAGTATTCTGAAAAGGAGGATAAATATGAAGAAGAAATTAAACTTCTGTCTGACAAACTGAAAGAGGTGAGTGTGACCCGCCCAGCTAGTCCGGGTTTCTCCTGGGGCTGGTCTTGAAGTGATCACTCGTGATTCCTTTCTTCTCCAGGCTGAGACCCGTGCCGAGTTTGCAGAGAGAACAGTGGCAAAACTGGAAAAGACAATCGATGACCTGGAAGGTACGACATGACCATCTAATTATGTTTGCTCTGCTCCCCCCCCACCCCCACACACGCGACACATCCACAGGCGGTTGGGGGTAGTCTGTGGAGGGGCTGCGTTGGGCCTCGTCCGCCTTAGGAGAGTGAAGTGTGGAGTGATGTCACATCTGCAGGTCTGGAGCACTGGAGCAGGACAGCACAAATCAAACTCAGACTCGGGTTGCCATTTTTCAATAAGTAAAATCTCTCTCCTTAATTAGGTCCACATGTAAGCACAGAGACCCAAATATGGCTGACTTAAAAAAAGTCTTTAGAATTTCCTTCAGTTTGCTCATTTCTGAGAGACGCCTTGCATTTTTTAAATGCCTTGCATTTTTACAGAAGCTTTCTCCCAGAGAGCTCCAAGCTTATCACAGTATGAGAAAACGGAAATACAGAGAGTGTAGAGACCCGAATAAAGACGCCAGTCTGCGAGTCTGGTGCCCACGTATCTCAGAATTTCTTGAAGAGTTCCAAGTTAAAAAAATTCTGTCCTGTGTTCATGAAATAACTTGGAAATTCCAGATCTTGGGGTTCAAACAAAATCTCCCAGGCTGCCCGTTCCACCCAGAAAGGGTGCAAAACTCCTTCCTCAGACCATGTGTCCCAGTGTTTGGTTTGCGAAGTGAGGTTTCCGTATAAGGGAAAATGCCCTGTTCCAAAGTATAACCTTTGGACTGAGTGACATCATCGAAAGTCAGAAATAACTTGGGCTGGGGGGATGGGGGAGCGCTCTGCCTTTCTCGTCACCACTCCTTGAAAGGTTCCTTATGACTAATCCTCTGCAGGGCCTCAGGCCCTGAGAAATCACTCCACAGACGCTTTGTTCTCTCATCTGTTTCCCACAGGACACAACCTTCTCCTAGTTCATGCTTTGTTTTCTCACTGTTTTTTCTTCCTCTCCTTGCTCATCTGTGGCACTCCATTCTGACCCTTGCGTTCTGTCCCCTGTGCCTCTTCTTCTGAACTCTCTCCCTGGGGACCTCCGCCCTCTAGACAAGCTGTACACTCAGGAGCTCAAGTACAAGACCACCAGCCAGGAGCTGGACCATGCTCTCAGTGACATGAGCTCTCTAAGAGGCCGCTGGGTGCCGCCCTCTGTCCTAGCAGTCCTGAAGTCTGCCTTCTCGCTGTGGTGCCTCCACTCCCATGGGCAGTTGGCTGCCTCCTGGTTTGATCTTTGAAACTGTCTTCTGCTGTGTCTGTGACTGGCTGAAACAAAGACGGGCGGTCCTCATCTTCATGCCCTCTCATTTTCATTTTCTCCACGTGCCACTTTAGAGCCGTGGCTGTGATGCCCTTGACCGTGGCCGCAACAGAAAGTGGGTGGTTCAGATGAAGAGCTCATTTCAAAAGGAAAATTATGCCCACATGATTCTTTTCTGACGATGCGAAAACAGAAGCCAGTTTGGCATGAGCTCTTAAACTCGGTGTTAGCGAACTCTATCTGCATGCCAACAGCGGTTTTTCCTTCAATAGAAATTATTTTGAATGGAAGCTCATCCAACCTCTTAAGGAGCTTAATAGAGGCAGCAGAACTTGCAAAAACTGGTTTGTGTCTAAAAGAGGCTACCCTTGACTGGGCATGATCCACAGATTCAAACAGTGGCGGTGGATTTGGGTCTCCTTATTCCTCCTCTCTGCGCTTGTTTTCTCTGTGTTACTGTGCTCTGAGAATGGTGCCTAGGGCTCCCTCTGTCTTCACTGTTGGTGGCACATCTCTCCAGCTCCCAGTGCTGGGAGGAAGTTCACCCGTGAAGCTCACTTCTGTACCCTGCCATTACAAAACGACCACACAAGGAATTAAAGGGCATCCCATTAGCAGGAAAAGGGAGTGGAAACTGCTGGAATGCCAAAGAGAGGAAGTGAAGTGATTCTTTCCTCAGTTCCAAACGGAGTTGCCTGAGATGCTAACATCTGTCTCCCCTCATACCTGAGTTAACTGTAACCAGGAACCCTGCTTTGGCTTAAAAAAGTTGGCCTCTGGGGGTTAAAAGGTCATGCTTACAGTAACTAAAAGCTCATGGATTTTTCCAAAAGAATCCAAATTTCAAACGGTCTATCCATTTCTCCCCTGCGCCCACCCCCCCACCTCAAATTGTCCCAGAAACACTGACATTTTGATGTCCGAGCCACATTTTCCAGACTGCCCCTTGAGCCTGAAAAATGGCATGAAAATCTCCAATTAGCATCATCCATGTTTGGTCACTGTAGCTTGTTATTCCTCGTCCTGTTATTTTTTATTCAGGTAAGAACCCAATTGTTTATATTCATTCCTCCAGAATACATCTCCCCTACTCCCCACACCCTTCCACCCCCCCACTTCTGTTGCTAACTGCCGTCCTCCCTGAACTTTTGCATAAACTACCCTCCTCACACACTGCCATCCGTATGCCCTCGGAAAGATTACAGACTGTAGGGGTGAGTGTTTTTGGTTTGCTCTCTCTGTATTTGTTCCTGGGAGTTTTCCAGACATCTGTAGCCTCCACCCTTTGAATAACTACAGCCCTGCCCATCCAGTCATTCACCTCACTAAGCACCAGGTGGAACTTCATTCAGAGATCGGGGCTTGGAGACCTGCTGCTTCCTGTTGACAGTCTGTGGGCCTGTCACAGTTCTCGAGGGCAATCATCACTTTAAGGGAAAGTTATCTCAGACCTAATAACAAAGTGGATGCCAGGGAATCTAAGTGAGGTGAGGTCAGGATTTGTAGCCGGGCCATCTGGCTTTGGATTCTAGCCCTACCACTTTAGCTGTGCGACCTTGAACAAGCTACTTAGTTTTTCTGCAAAATAAAGGTGATATGTCAGTCATTGCGAGGATTAAATGAGATAACGGAGAAACTGGCTCATGTATAGTAGGCACATAGTCGCTGTGTGTGCATCCAGACTGGACAGGCCCAGGTCACTGTTCTCTCTCTGAAGGAACCCTCCCAGGTCATAGTCGCCTGAGTAGTAAGGGCCTCGTCAAATGAAAGGTTCAGTGGTTGGAGTTGAAAGGCTGCCATCCTGGCTGTCATTTTTCGTTCCTTTCTGAAAAGTTCCAAGCTGATCCTATCACATTTTATGAGGCGTTTTTGCTTTCCTCCAGTATTTTAATGAGTCTTGGCCTAGTCCCTTATCGGCCCTCGCTCATTGCAAACCGGTTCTCTCTCGTGCTCTGTCATGCAGAGCTCTTAATGGCATCTTACTTTTTCTTTTTTTTAAATCTATCTCATCGGCTCAGTCACTTAATAACATACCCATAGTCGCTTAAATTTCAGCCATGTTGCATTTGCCTGAGTTTGATGACATTGCTACAGACACACAGACACAATACCACAATGACGCCTGGAATTTAAACAGCCATTCCCAGAAACTCCAAAGGAAAGATGAGTTACAGGACTGCGTTTTCCTCCCAAAGGCTCGAGGAAGGACTAATTAACTGGCACTAGGAGGAAAATGTATTAAGTAACCCATACCTAGGACTAATATCTTATGTTTGTAGCACTTTGTAAGTTCTAAAGCATTTCTCATTTGTTCCTTATAATAACTTCTATACCACATTGGTATTGTCATCCCCATTTGACAGATGGGGAAACAGACCTAGAAAAGTTAAATGCTTACTTCGGTGGCACACCTGGGGCTTCAATCCAGGTGTTCTGACTCTAGGACCGCCAGATTTATTAGCAAATTAAAATACAGGACAACTAGTTAAATCTGATAGGCAATGAATAATTTTTTGATATATCATGTAATATTTGGAGTATATTTATGCTAAAAACTTCTCATTTATCTGAAATTAAAATTTAACTCAATACCCTGTACTTTATCTTGCGACCCTACCCAGCTCCCAAATTGGGTACTTGATCTCTATTCTGTGGTGTTCTGCTGCACTTAAAATGCAAAGTACCTTCTCTGCTATGACTCTCATTCTGACGGTTTGGAGTTTAGAACGCTTTTCTTTTTTTCCTGTAACAAAGATGCTTATTAATTTATTTTTTCCCCTACTCTTAATCCTCACCAGAAAAACTTGCTCAGGCCAAAGAAGAGAACGTGGGCTTACATCAGACACTGGATCAGACGCTAAACGAACTTAACTGTATATAACCAAAACAGAAGAGTTTTGTTCCAACAGAAACTCGAGAGCTCCATGTCTCTCTCTTCTCTTGTAAGAAGTTTGTTACTGCATCTTCGCTTTGCTGGAAATGTCAAGCAAATTATGAATACATGACCAAATATTTTGTATCAGAGAAGCTTTGAGCACCAGTTAAATCTGATTCCTTCCTTTTTTTCAAATAGCACCAGCTTTTTCAGCTTTACTCCTATCCTTAAGTGGCATTTATTCCTAAGGTAGGCAGGGTATTTCGTATTGAGCATACTCTCTTAAGACTGAGGGCATTTGGTTCCTGGGAGAGCAGACAAGCACAGTTTCAAAGTAGACCCCAATATCTAGTCATGGGTCAATTTAAAAGGCTGATGGATGTAACCTTCCCGGCCACCACAAGTCACACTACAGGAGGCCAAGGACTATCACATTAAAATGGGTGGGGATTTTCCATCCAGAGCAAAGAAAAAAAAAAAGGAACTATTGTGGGAAGTCATAAACCCAAGATAGATTAACCTAATCATGCTGGCTCTTTTCCACACTCCACCGTGCAGAACAAACATCCTCTGAGCAGTCAGCATGAGAATGCTCGGGAAAAAGTCATAATAATTACCCAAATATTTTCTGGACAGATCTTTGATGTTATGCTCTTCTACCTGTTTTACTCTAAAGTTGTTCTGAGGAGCAGATGTGTTACTCAAATAACGACCCACGCTTGTCTGCTCTGACATGAGGCCATCCACTCAGCAGGAAGGAATATGTTGGAATTCAGTCCTCTTCAGAGAAGCCCTATCAGAAAGAGTGGGAGCCATCAATAATTGAGCAAGAGTGTTTTTGTACTAACACATACTGGGCAGAAGTAGAGATAAAAAAGTAATTGGCTAACTTCATCTCCTCCGTACTTAAGGGAATGAAAAATTGAAGATTTTTCATCCTACTCTCTAGGACTTTAGTTCCTTCTTTAGGACCAAGTTAACAAAAGACCAAGACTCTCCTGATTAAACTGGACATGGAGGATTCTGTAGACAGGCTGCCCATTTTGGCGCTGTTACATTTCTGCTTCTCAGGGGCATCCCCGCTGCACCATCCCGCACTGCCCAGCGCGGGCGCTCAAGTTTACACCGCGCCGCTCACTCCCCGCTCCTGCTCCTGCGCCCTCTGCCCCTCGCTCCTATTTATTAAGCGTCACACTACCCAGGAGGTACACTAGCAAGTTGGGAGCTGAATAAAACCCACACTTCTCTAGATTCCTGCAGCTGTATCATATGTAACAGTATCACTTTTTCTACATTTTGGTCAAATAAATTTTTACATAAACTGGCCCGTGTGAGTTTTGGAATGTGGGGGTTCCGCCTCGGGAGAGCGCCGCCAGGAACCGAGCAGGTCCCCGCCCCGCTGTCCCCTCCGTGCCAGAGCCGGCCGCGGGCGGGGGCTGCCCGGGGTCCCCGCGTGTCGCCCGGATGAGGGCGGCCGGGTCAGCGAGAGCACCGCAGGCGCGGCGGCACAAGCGACAGCCCAGACGTCCCCAGCAGCGCGGGCCGGACGACGCTGCAGGCCGCGCGGAGGAAGGGAGGGAGAGAGGGCGGCCTGGAGGAAGAACTCTCGGGGTCCACGTCGGGCGGCGAGGGAGTCGACGAGGCGGGAGCCGTCAGAGCGTCACCCAGCCCGCGCACGCCCGTCGGCACCGCGGCAGCCGACGCCGCTTTCCCCCGACCCCCGGCGGGCGGGCGCCCTGAAACCCTGCCCGCGAGCGCGTTAAACGGGCACGCTGCGGGGCACCCGGCTGGAGCACGACCCGGACGACAGGACGGCGCGGAGTGACCGGATGCGCAGTGGACACTGGAGACCGGACCAGGGGCGGCCAGGGCCTCCTCGGGCGGCGGCACGTGGGGCGCAGGGGCGTCGGGGACAGGCTGCGGGCGCGGCGACCGGCCGGGCCTCGCCAGGGGACCCGGCAGCCGCAGAGCGACGGGGGCCCCACAGGAAGCGTAGGAGCGGCGGGACCCACGGGCCTCCCGCCCGGGGCCGGCGAAGACTACTCGTTCCGGGCGCGGGGGGCAGCCGGTGGCCCGCCCTCCAACTCCGCCCGGCCCAGAGCCCACGCCGCCACAAGCCCGGACCCCCACCTCGGCGCGCGGGGCGCCAGCGAGGCCGCTCAGGCGGCGGGGGCCCGGGCGCCTCGGAGGGGACCTCGCGCCGACTCTGACGAGCGCCCGCACGCTCCCCTCGTTCGTTCCCCGCGGCCTGACGCGGCCACCTCCACGCCACGCGACACAGCCGCCGCAGCTTCCCGCGCTCGGCCCGTCGCATACTGAGGCTGCGCGGGCCGTACGGAGGCTGCGCGGGTCGTGAGGGCGGAAGCCAGAAACCGACGCGCGTGCGCCCTCTGCTGGCGCCCAACTGTCTCCTCGGTGCGCGTGCGCACGCGCCCCCGGCCCCGCCCACGAACTGCGAGCGCGCGGAGCCGTTGGCGACGCTCCCCGCCCTTCCCCACCCATCAGGGGACGGGGCGGGGCCGCCCCGGAGTCGGGAGAAGGCGGGGACACGAGATGCCACGCCCCCGCAGGTCCCTATTTGAAGCCCCTCGAGTCCTCACTGCTGGCCAATCGCAGCCCGCCCTGTCCCGAGCGCCGGCCAATGAGCGGCACGTTCGGTCGCTTCCGGCTCTGCGCCCCACTAGCCCCTTCCCCAGGTCTCCCCGCGACGGGCGGAGCGAGGGGGCGGGCGTCGGCCGCAGTGACGCGCGACGGGCCGGGAGCCAATGGGGGGCGGGCGCGGTGCTGATGGACGGGGCCAGCGGCCAGTGGCGAGGCACGGGCCGCACTTCCCGTCGGGGAGAGAGTGTAATATGGCGAAGACCTACGATTACCTGTTCAAGCTGCTGCTGATCGGGGACTCGGGGGTGGGGAAGACCTGTGTCCTGTTCCGCTTCTCCGAGGACGCCTTCAACTCCACCTTCATCTCCACCATAGGTAGCAGGGTCGCGGAGCGGCCGGGCGCGCCCCTGAGGGCTGGGGGCTGATGGAGCGGCCGGGCCGGACGGCCTGAGGGCTCTGAGAGGGTCACGGGGCCCAGGGGGAGAGGACCGGCTGCCCCGCCGCCGCGTGGGGCTTCCCGGGCCATGGGGAGGACCAGGTGTCCATTTACAGAGGGGAGGCTGAGGCCCGACCCCCAGCCCGCTCGTCGGGGAGCGTGTGTCCTGGGCTGGGGTCTCGGCGCCCGTCATCTCATTCTGTCCTCGCCGCGGCCCTAGAAGCGGTTCTTTGGGGTCCGCGTCTTAACAGCAGTGGAAACTGAGGCACGGGGAGCTGGCTGTGGGAACAGGACCGTGACATCTGATCTTACTGAGCACCTGCTGTGTGCGTATCACACTCGCCAGTCCTGTACGTTAGATGCTGTTAGAGCCCATGGCACAGAGGAGAGGTTAGGCTGGGGGAGGACACGGGACTCGCCCAAGGTCACACAGTCTGCAGGTGGCAAGGATGGGATTTGAACCCAGGTGTGTCAGACCCCAAAACTAAAGGCTCAGTCGTCCCAGACAGATGTGAGCGCTCGCCCCCAGGTCAAGCACAGCTGATCCTCATCGGAGCCAGGACTCCGACCCACACCTCTCCCGCTCTTCCTCTGGAATATTCAGGGGTTAGTCTCTCCTCCTGACCCTGTTTCCCCCATGGCTGCGTTTCCTCTAGAAGGAATGCTGAGAGGGAGTCCCAAGCCTTTCCCTGCCCCGCCTTCTATCCCACTGAAGGGTGACAGCAACAGCTGCCTGCCTTGGGGCCTGTCATCCCCAAAGAGATTCCAGATAAAAGCTCCAGTAAGAAACTAAAATCAGCCAGTGCCACAGAGCGCCCTGACTTCCCTATCTTGAGGCCAGGACACCGGTTGTCACTTTGCAGAACAGCCTTTCCCGTAGGGCCAGCCCACATTGTGGTTAAGCAGAATGGCTTACTACTCCTCGCTTCCGACATCCAGAGCTGACTTTGCCCGACGCCACAAAAACAGCCACTGCCTTCATGAACGTTTGACCTGGGAGTCACATCAGCCAAACAGAGTGGCCTGTGAGCTAGGCAGCCGTGCTCCGCAGTGGGGAAGTGGGAGAATGGTCACCAAGCCCAGGAGTTGATCGCAAATGGAGAGAACCTAGGGAAGGGGCTTTGCTTTACCCTGCGTAAACCCAGTCAGCTTATCTGCTTGAACCCCACTATGAGCTGCTGATTCCATCCTTGCTGTCTTCCAAAAGCTGCACTTTGCAAAACACTTAGGTGCCAATGTAGAGAGAATTATCCTGGAAATCATAATGCCTGATTTCCAGCTGCTGTTTGCCCTTGAGCAAGCACTTTACCTCTCTGAGCCCTGTTTCTGTAGTTGAGTGTGGTGCCCTCTGCCTTGACCAGGTGAGGTGGTTGAGGATCAGAACTGTGTGACGAATAGGGGCTCGTCCCTGCTGCCAGAGCCGTCTAGAGGAGGCAGGATGGCTCCTTCATGGCAGCAGCCCTCCCCTGGGCTCAGGTGTTTCAGCTCCCTCCCCTCCCCAACTCCAAGGTCAAACTTTGGGGTAACCCTTGCATCCCCCCTAGTCAAAAAGATCTTAACTCCTGGCAGCTGGTGGCTCGCTCTCAGCCCAGGCCTCAGTTTCCCAGCATCAGAAACTTCCTGTGCAGCACAAGCATTAGTAGGGTCAGTTTGGTTGGGTTTTTCATTTGGTTTCTAATTCTTGACCAGAAAGCTCAAGCTAGCGCTTTAGGGCTCCAAGGACGCTGGCTTCCACTTGCAGGCGAGGGTGTGACTTGGGCAAGGTCGCGTAGGGAGGTGGAGGTGACAAGTAACCTGGGACTCTTCTCATTAGACATGGCCTTCCTTCAGGCCTCTGTCTTCTAGGAAGGTGTGTCACTCTGACCTTGCAGTCATGGCCTCCTCATTCTTAGGCCTCTTAAAGTTTACACTTCCTAATTAAATTTGTTGTTACTGTAGCCCAGGAGGAGGATGGGAGAGAGCGATGCCGTAGGGCTCAGTGCTTCCTGGTTTCCTATGTCCCTGTGCATCTTGACAGGAGGTGGAGAAGCGACAACCCTGGGCCGCTTCGAGCTGAAATACAACTTAATGCATAAGGGCGACTCTGTTGGCACTGAGTGTACCTCTGGGTTTTCTTTATAGATTTGGGATTAAGTGGCTGTTCATCTTCTGCCCAGGTTTCGTTTTGCAAAAGCCTGTTCTCATAAGCTCTATCGATCATTTGTGGTGTGAATTTGGCCCTGTGGCTCCCTGGAATTGGTTCTTCCCAGCCTGGCTCTGCCCCCACCGCCTTCTCAGGGCCCCCTTCATTCGTTCCTTCAAGGAGGTGAATGACAGAAACTGTGCGGCACCACGCAGCCCCCGGTGCTCTGAGTTCTTTCATCCAGCCAGCTTGCCCGCATGCCGGCTGCAGACCAGGCATCTGCCTGGGTGTCGGAGCTGCAGAGATGGCTCAGATGGCTCAGAGGGAGGCAGAAATGCCATGAAGTCTGCAGTCAGGTGTGTGTGCAGGGCGACTGGCTTCTAGTAAATACGTGTTCAGCCCCGGCCGTGCTTACTCACTGGAGGTGTAGCCGAGAGAAAGACGTGTGAGTCCCTGCCCTCAAGGGGCTGATTTCTAGTGGGCACGATTCAAGTGCAGGCTTAGCTTCCCTCTTGTCCCGAGGACAGCTCCTGAGGTGGGCAGGGCCGGAATTAGCATCCCCATGATGGGTTCTGAGAGGTCCGGCCAGGCCTGAGCCTCAGGTCTTCACAGGGGGAGACTGAGAACAAACACCCTGCGCCAAAGGCTGGGTTTGGCCATTTCCCCTCCACGCAGGCCATTCACATGAACAAGTTTTACTCCTGGGTTCGTGGAGCAAAGAAACAAATATACAATGTCAGGGGTAAGTGCATGAAGAAGAAAAAGCAGGTAAGGGGAGAGAAATGCGGATGGTTAGGAAGGCTCCCCTGAGGAGGTGGCTCAACCAGAGACCTGAGTGAAGGGAGGGGGAGCCAGGTGGCCATGGAAAGAAAGAACATTCCAAGACAGGAGAGAGCAAGCATAAAAGCCCTGAGGCCAGAGTGCGCCTGGGCTCTTTGGGAATCAGCTACGGAGACAGTGTGGGTGGAGGGGGGCATGACCATGGCTGCTGAGAGGTGAGCGGGTCAGGCAGGACCTCGGAGCACACTGGCAACTATTTGCTCTGTCTGCGGGGGCCAAGGAGGCAGTGGGAAGCCACTGGAAGGTGTTTTGGGGGTTTTTTAACAGTTTTATTGAGGTATAATTCACCTACCATACAACTCACCCACTTGAAGTGTACAATTTGGTATATTCAGAGTACAACCATCACCACAGTCAATTCTAGAAAATTTTCATTATTCCAAAAACAAACCCCAAACCCCACCCATCTCCCCATTCCCTCTGCAGCCCCTGGCAACCACTAATCTGCTTCCTGTCTCTATGGATTTGCCTGTCCTGGACGTTTTCCTGTGAAAACGTGTGTGTGGCCCTCTGTGTCTAGCTTCTTTCGCTCAGCGTGGTGTGTTCAAGGTTCGTCCCTGTTGTAGCGTGTGTCAGGGCTTCGTTCCTGTTTACGGCTGAGTAATAGTCAGTTCGTTGTACAGACAGACCACATTTTGTTATCTGCTCATCTGTTGGCAGACGCACTGGAAGGTTTGGAGGCGGGATTAGCTTTGTGATGTGGTTGAGTTTGTGCCTTTTAAAGCTGAGGAGGTGACTGAGGGGCAACAGTAGGAGCCTGGAGAGCGGCCCAGGAGGCTGAGAGGTCATCCATGGTCCTGGGGAAAGGGGCCTGCAGCCGGTGGCTGGGAGAGAAGGAGGGCAGGATCAGGAAGCCTTCTTGGGGGGTGTCCTAGCGGATCTCAAAGGAGAAGGAGAAGTTTGCCAGGCTGACGGGTGGGTGGGGCGGGGCTACCTGCAGAGAAGGAACAGCATGTGTGCAAGCTGGAGACCCATGTACATCGTGGTGCATCGCGGGCCCAGTGCCCTGGGGGTCGGGGTGGGGTGGCAGGAAGCATGGGTCTGAGGCCTGCCAAGGGCTCTGCTGCCCACTCAGCGAGGCCATCTCTGGGGGGAGGGAGCAAGTCTTTGGCACCTCAGCTTCTTGGGTTTGCCCGCCAGCTCTGCCAGCTGCCGGCTTCACTCAGGGTGGCTCCTGTCCCCCTTTGAGCCTCAGCTTCTGCTTTCGTGAGAGAAGCGAGTTCTCCAGGTGCCTCCAGCTGTGCTGTGGGGGATTCTGAGACCCCACGTGCCCAGCACCAGGCAGGTGCTCTATAAGCTGCAGCCACTGTTCCCTGCACGGGTTGGCAGTGCCCGCCTCAGATGCAGCTTGGGAAATGGGCTAACAGTAATGCACCTCTTTTTTTCTTTTCTTTCAGGAATTGACTTTAAAATTAGGACCATAGAGCTCGATGGCAAGAGAATTAAACTACAGATATGGTAAGAGTCAGTGTCTTCATCAGCCACTTCGCCTGGTGAGCGCTTCAAGCCAGGAGTTCCTAGGGCCCCTCTCCCTTCCCTCTGACTGTGGCCTCCATCTCTTTGTGCCCAGCTGGACACATCGGGCTTTGTTAGAAGCCCCAGGAGCTGTGGTCTGCTGGCTGCTGGGGCCCAGAGTCTGTGTCAGCACCTTCTGGGGCTCAGCGTTCCAGTGTGGGCCCTGCTTGGGCCTGGCCTTCAGAGCGGCCTGCTTCCACTGAGCTTGAGAGAGCCCTCTACGCCTGGTGGCGGTGAAGGTGCCGGGATGGGGAGATGCCCCGGCCTGGCATTCTTCTGAGCCTGTCAGCTCGCTGAAGACGGCCTGACATCGCTTCCTCTTTCTCTCCCGGGGAAGCCCAGGCCTCACTTCCTAGGACGCAGACCTGAAACCCCAGAACCATAAATGAGCTGAGGCCAGGCCTAGTAACAAGGCCTGTTTCCATTCCACTCACCTGGGGCCGGCTTCCCATGCCACATGAAATTAGAGAAGCTGTGAGTCCCCGTCAGTGGCGCTGACTCCAGTCTGCTGACCGCTGCACCAGGAAGGCTCAGCTCGGATGGTCAGGGGCAGGGGAGCCCACCCTGCAGCCACATCACTTGCAGGGAAGCAGGAGCCCTAAGCGGAATAAAGAGAAGTCACATTTGGCAGAGCGGCTCAGTCCCTCTGTTCAGGCAGGCGCCGGCGGGTGGGAGGGAGCCTGTGAGAGGGGCTGCAGGGCCGCCCTACCCACAGCCCATCTGCCCTCTGCAGTCTCAGTGCAGCATCGCCCCGCTTGTCGGGCGGTCCCCTCGACTTCAGTGGTGTCCACCTCTGAATCTGACTTCAGAATCGAGATCTGAATGAGGCCTCATGCCGGTCAGTCCTGCAGAGCTCTGTGTCCGTCTGTCCTCCTCGTCAGTTATGAGCCATGGAAGTTCCTCGCCTCCCAGTGCGTTGGAGCCTCAGCGCCCAAGTCCAAAGTGACACTGTGTTAGCAAGCAGAAGTTTCGCTTTCCTTTCTTCCTGTCTTCCTGCTTCTGCTCCTGGCGATCTCAGTGGGGTTAGTGACTTTCTTAAAACTCTTCTGGACCAGGACCATGGTTGAGAATAAAATACTATAACCACTAAAGTCGCCTGCTGTTGGTGACAGAAGGCGAGCTTAGCCCCAGATGAGGTGCTTCTGTACAGTGCAGATGGGCGGAGCCCGCAGGGGCGTGCAGGGGTGTGGGAGGAGCCCTGGGCCCCGAGACAAAAGACATGGCTCTGGCCGATCAGTGAGGTCACCTTTAAACCCCATGCTGAGTACCTTCTGCCGGGAGCTGGGCTGGGCATGGGCATGTCTCTCCCACCTGTTGCCTCTGTACCGATGAGGAAGGGCTTTCCGCCTGGCCTCCACCAAGGTCATGAGTGTGGAAGTGCTTCCTGAGCCCCACCGAGTCGGCCTGGCTCAGCCCACCAGCAAGGGCTGTGTTTTTGTGCCACGTGACCAGCACTTTCACATGCAAGGTCCATGCCTGACCTTGGTTCTTCTGTGATGCGGAAACCATGGGGAGAATCTCCAGGAAGCCCAGATGCAGAAGAGAGTGAGCACGCAGGCCAGTGACTCTGGTGGCTCTGCCGCATCCCCAACTGGGAGACCTTAACCCGTCTGAGCCACAGTTTCCTTCTCTGTAAGGAGGGAGAATGGGGGTGCTTCCCCACAGCAGGGTGATCAGTCAGGAGATGGCCGTGGGAAAGCCCGCATCCCTCCCAGGCAGTGCCCTCACTGCCGCCGTGATGATGGTTCTTGTTCAGCATCACTAACATGCCATCTTGTCTTTAGGGACACAGCTGGTCAGGAACGGTTTCGGACCATCACAACAGCCTACTACAGAGGCGCAATGGTATGGACGGGGTGTTTTTGTTTTTGTCTTTTCTTAAGTCAAAATGAACATCATTGCCTTGGATACCAAAACCTGGATGTCTCTGGGGAGCCCGTGCTCTGGCTCCCCGGAAGTCCTTGGGCCTGGGTCCATTTTCAGAACAGGCTGCGTGCCCCACCCGCACTCCCACGCACATGCATCCCCTCTGGCTTCAGAGACAATGCAGGGTTTAGGGAAGCCTGATTCTTCGGGAGTGAAGGGAGACACGGGCAGCCGGTTCTTCAGGTGAGGCCAGTGAGATGGGGGACGGCATGCCCCGACACCTAGGCCCGCCTCACCCTCTGTGGAATTTGCTACCGAGAACTTGAAGCTCGTCCATGAGCTGAGTCGCCCTGGGCTGTTGGCCATTATATTTGTTGCCTGGGCCTGAGGCAAGATGACGTGACAGGAAGACTCGTTTGTCATCCCTTAAGTATTTTTACCAAGCTCCTTCTCCGGGCCAGGCCTGAGCCAGTTGTGGAGGGAGACCTGGGATGGGCCGGGGTCCTGCCGGAGGGTCTGGCGGGAGGCAGAGCCCCTGGACCTGGCTTGGCACGCAGGGTTGTCCTGGGTGCCCCTCTGAGCTCTGTCTCCTGACTCAGGAAGTGGGGTGGAGGACAGGCCTGTGACCCAGCAGTGGTGAGGGTGGATGCCATCTCCCCATTCCCAGCTCCCACAGTACCTCGCCTTTCCGTGGTGCACCCCGTCTTAACTGAGGAGACACCTGTGTCCTCCACTGGGCTGCGAGGTCTGTGAGGGGTGGGCCACGTTGGGGTCACTGCCACGTGCTCTGTGCCTGGGCTGGTGCTGGGTTTGCAGTGGGGGCTCAGGAGCTATCAGCAGATGATGGAGATGAGTGGCAGCATGAAGTCTTTAGACCCTTCCATGCAGCGTCTGGACCACCATAGACACTCGGTCACATGGGTTGCAACCTTAGCACACACGTCTCATTAAAATTAATTTATTAATTCCCCTTACTTGGCTGTGCTCAGGGGGCAGGGGCCACGGGGCACTGGGATCCTGGGGGGCTTCTCTGTGGCCTCATGTGGGCCCTGGCCCTGTCTAGGCTGAAATAGCCCCCACTGTCCCATTCACTGAGCCCTTCCCTGTCCCAAACACCAGGCCCCGGTCTTGGCCATATACCCCCGAGTGGGGGCACCAGGGTCATCCCCATTTTACAGAGGAGGAACCCAAGGCTCACTGGAGTTCCATGCTTTGCTTTAGTCCATGCAGAGGGCAGAGGGATGGGCCAGTGCAGCTGGCCATCCCCAGTGCCTCGTCCTCAGCCAGCCCTTGATGAGGCTGCACTGAGCCATCTGTGAGACCCTGTCCAGCCCCCAGATGATTGTGGCTGGCAGTCCTCCTAGACCTGGGCTAACCCATAAGGAAGCCACGAGCCAGGTGTGGCAATTTGAAATTTAACTCAGTTAAAGTAGGAAATCCTGCCCCTGGGTCGCACCAGCCGCATTTCAGGTGTCCCAGAGCCACATGTGGCCAGCAGCGACCGTGTGAGACAGTGCAGAGAATGTTGCCAGCACTGCAGCCCATCATCCTCTCTGTCCTCACCGTAGCAGCCCCTGGGGTCCCAAAGTAAGGGAGCATTAGTTGTCTCCTGTCACATTGTGAACTTATAGACATCCCGCTGTGGTGCCTGGCACAGAGTAGGCACCAGATGAGGGCTGATGCTGGGGCACCCAGAGGAGGTGGCGCTGGCCGAGCCCAGGACTCGGGCAGGGCGAGGGGCGAGTAAAGGCCTGCAGGAGGCTGAGCACGGCAGAGGGTTGGCGTGAAGGGGAGCTCGGTGGGCACCAGGGTCATGGAACACATGCAGGACAGGGCGCTGCGGAAAGGAGGTGGGCCATGATCATCCTGCCGGGGCGAGGAGCCAGCAGCGCTCGTCTGTAAACACAAGCGTGGTGGGGTCTGCTCTGGAGGCAGAAGGGTCACCTCGGTGGCTAAGGGGGCAGAACGAGTCTGGGAGACCAGCGAGGGAGGGTGGGGATCTGGCAGGAAGGGCGCCTGGAGGGGTCCCTGCTGCCCCACCTTGCTGGGCCTCCCCGACTCAGCTTGCAGCTTGTCTGGAGCAGGTGTCTGTCTCCCCCATTCAGGGCATCATGCTGGTCTATGACATCACCAACGAGAAGTCCTTTGACAACATCCGGAACTGGATTCGGAATATTGAGGAGGTAAGGCTCACAGCTCTTGCCATGTGTGCGAACTTCCAGGGGTTCTCTCCTCTCTCCTCACCCCGGAGTGCCCTGGCTTACAGATGAGGTCATGGAGGCACAGAGACACCTAGAAGTGACTCACCATGAGCCCCATAGCTGGGGGGTTTAGTCATGGCAGAACTGGAACCCAGGTGGTCAGCCCTGGAAACTGCATGCTGGCCTGGCCTCCTCAGTAGACCAGACCTGAGAGCCCATTTGCCCAGCTAGGCAATGTCACCACCAGGAGAGAATAGACATCCGAGCTCTGGGTTACTCTGAGCATTTAGTGCTTTCTAGAGAAGGGAGGTTCCAGAACCGACGTGACCCTTGTATTTGGTGACGTGGTGAGATGATGTGTCGGGTCATACTTTGAGCTACAGCGGAGCAGGGTGTGAGCCAGCTGATTGATGTGAGCCCCCGTGTGCAGGCCAGCACGCTCAGATAGCTGCTGCCTATGACAGGAGACTCTGAACCACGGAGGGAAAGGGAGGGGCCAGCCCACCTCCCCTAGCCAAAGCCAGTGCCGTCCCCTGCCCACTCCTTGAAGAGCTCACCTGCACCCCAGAGCCTCCCTGAACGGTGGCACTGGCAGCTTTCGATGACTCATCAGGCAGGGCGTCAGGTCTGAGGTGCGGCCAGAGAACTTCACCCTTCTGTAAAGCCCGGTGAAAGGTCACGTCACTCCCTGCCCCGGCACTGATAGGTGGCAGCACCAGGCCCCCCCCCCCCCCCCCCCCCCCCGCCCCCGACAACCCCACATTTGCTGGCAGGAGGCTGTGCCCTGGCTGAGGAAGAGGGCCTCCTGCTGGTCTCTGAGGAAGCTCTCTGCTTCTGGCCGGTAGGCGAGAGGGCCATTGGTTAGCAGGAGGTTAGTCAGCCAGCAGTGCCCTGTGCTCACTGAGACCAGAAGGCAGGAGGTCCCCTCCCATGCCCTGGTCTTCAGAAGTGACACCCCTCCCCTGGGGTATGGGGGCGACTGGAGGAGGAGCCCTTTTCAGGCCTGAGGGCAGAGTTAAGGGGACACCAGGGTTGCCAGTCTTTGGGGCCTGTGACCACCACAGGCACAGCCCATTTCGGAACCCAAAGAGCGAGCTGGAGCTGGGCAGAATGTCCCAGGACAGCAGCTAGGGCCTCCAGCAGAGCACCTGGGAAGCAAGGGAGGTACAGAGGGTACCCTTCATAGAGCCCACCAGGAGCCCAAGGATGGGCACAGGAGTCTGGTTGACGCGGCCCAAAGGGCAGCTGTCCTCAGCAGCGGGAAAGCATGCACTTGGTCAGAGTAGCAGCCCGAACCCTGGACTCGGTCTTGGCGTTAGCTCTGTGACATGGGCCGGGGCACTCAGCCTCTCTCAGCTTCAGCTTGTCCTCTGCACAGGGATGTGCCCAGCAGTCCCAGCCCCCACTCTCATTTTGGAAGACAGGCTGTGAGTTGGCCTGTGGTCCAGTCTGTCCGCACCCCTCACCTCCCCATCTGCCCCTCTCTCTGTCAGCACGCCTCTGCAGATGTCGAAAAGATGATACTTGGCAACAAGTGCGACGTAAATGACAAGAGACAAGTTTCCAAGGAACGGGGAGAAAAGGTGGGCATGGTGGCGGGCTTGGACCTGGCACCACCTGGAGCCTTGGGGCAGAGGGACCTCAGGGTTTTAGGATTTCCCACATGGAGGCCAGCCCTGCCCTGCCCCACCCCAGAGCACCCCTGATTGCTTCCTGGCTTGTCCAAGACTGAGGGGGTCCTAGGACGCAGGACTTGGCTGGACAGCCGGCCGCCCCAGGGGGCCACGTGCTGTGGGGAGGAGGGTGGAGAGCACACTCCCGGCTGAAGATGCAGGCAGCCAGGGCTTCCAGGGGTGCTCTGCATGCTCCGTACGGTGCCGCGCCTTGGGACCCGTTCAGGCACAGGGAGCAGAGGATGAGCCGTGTTTTGATCCAGGCCCTCTCCACCCTCCTGCCAGGAACATTCCCCACCTGCTCTCCACTGGTAACTCAAGGGAGCGACCCAGGAGGTCACATCCATGGCCCCGGCCCACCCTGGCTCCCCCCCAGCTCCCCGCCAGGGTGCTGCGTGGGGGTCGGGGGCCCCTGGTGACTGACGTGTGTGTGTCCCTCCCTCACAGCTGGCCCTGGACTATGGCATCAAGTTCATGGAGACCAGCGCGAAGGCCAACATCAACGTGGAGAACGTGAGCACTGGGCCCTGTGGGGAGACATAAGCCTGCAGCGCTGGCCCTTTCGGGCTGAGAACAGGCTGCACCCTCTGGGGAGGCTCTCCCAGAGGGACTGGCCACAGGCTCCAACCTGCCACTTCCTGGGCAGCACCATGTGTCAGGCCCCTGAGAGGCCCAGGTGGCCCTGGGGGCATTGCCCCGCTGACAGCAGCAGCTGCAGGCCCCAGCTCGGCAACTACAGCATCATCTCACCGACTTTTGGGTTGCCTGGGGAACAGGCACAGTTTCACACATAGGGAAACTGAGGCTCAGAGAGTCCCAGCTGCCTGGCACCCAGGCCCAGCTCCCACACAGGCCCCGTTTCAAGCCCAGAAAGAGTAGGAGACTGTCACAGGGCCTTGGCCCAGGCGACCCTCTCCTCTCCACAGACAATGGCAGCCTCGCAGCTGAACTGCCTTCCCTCCATCCCACTGTGCCAGTGATCCTTCCAGAGAGGCTCTTCCACATCGTTCCCAAGCCCAGGCCCCATGCCTGGCACAGAAGGCTCTCCCAGCCAACCCCAGCCACCTGTGCCACACCCTCCCCCAAGCCTGTGCTGCGGTCCCTTCCCTCACACCCCCCCTTCCCATCAGGGCCAGTCCAAGTGGCCCCTCCCCAGGGAAGACTCTGCTGTCCCCCAGGCCCTTGGACCCACCCCTCCAGGTGTCCCCATACCCTGAGCCACCCTCCATGACAGCTTTCGATGTCACAGGGCTGTTTGCTGAGACTCTGCCTCTCCCACCAAACCGGGAGCCCCTCGGGTGCAAATGCTGAGGCTGAGTCATCTCTGTGTGAGGCCCAGGGGCAGGGCTGGTGCCAGAGTGGGGCTTAGTATTATCAGGAGAGTGGATGAGGGAAGGGAGGAAGTGGTCAGGAGGCTGTGACGGCAGCGGCAGCCTGGGGTCCAGCCAGCTTGAGCCATCGCCGTCCCTGGGAAGATGAGCCTTTCACCCATCCAGCCCTTCCAGGCCTCCCTGCCGGGCCAGGACCCAAAAGGAAGCATATTTGGCCAAAGAGCCCCCTGTCTTTCTCTCTGCCCTGCCCTGCCCGTCAGAAGGGGGACAAAGGAGTCAGGGATGGAGAGCTGGGTCCTCTGCCTGGATCCTTCCGGACTGGTCAGTTAGCCCTGGGTGCCTTCGGACAAGTCACTTGGCCCTTCCGAGCCTCAGCTTCGTCTCTGACCAGTCGAGGGTGATCCCATCTCCCAGGGTCATTGTCTCAGGGTGGGTGGTGGCCTGGGTGGGCCTAGTTAGCCTGCTAGGGACAGGAGATGGGTCTGGACAGCAGAGGCCCATGCCCAGGAAGCCGCCCTAACACTGGTCCCGCAGCGGCGGCCAGGAACCAGACAGCCTGTTGGCTTCTTGCTCCGGGCATACTGACGGTGTGCTTCTCCCACAGGCATTTTTCACTCTCGCCAGAGACATCAAAGCAAAAATGGACAAAAAATTGGTGAGTGTGTGTCCTTCCCAGATCCCCACAGATGTCCCAGTTGGTGCTGGCTGGCCTTGGCCTCAGTGGCGTGTTGCATCCCCAGGCAGATTCTGTGTTTTTGGACACGCTGGACCTGGGAGGACGTGGCTGGGAAAGGGGGGGCAGTTAGCAGGTGTGGTTGGGGCGTTGGCCCCAGACACGCTCATGGGTTCCCTCCTTCCTCCGAGGCCTGGAGCTGCTGGGCGCCAGGCACTGCCGTCTGAGCACACGGACTAGCAGAGGCTACGTGGCCCTTGCCGTCCTGCTCAGGAGATGATGGCCCCGCAGCACGGTGTCTGATAACTGCTGGCTTTCCGTCCTGACGAGTCTGGCAGGTCCTAGCCTGTTTTTGCCCTCCAGTCCTCAGTTCTCCAAGTTGTGCCTGCTCTATGACCTTCAGTGGGTCCCAGGGCCCTGAGGCGTCCAGGAGGTCCTGCCTCAATCCCGCCCCATCCACCCTTTCATTCTTCCAGCTTTTTCTTTACCACACGAACAGTCGCGTAGTCCCCAGCACCCACGTAACTAGTGTGTTCTTGGTGGAGTCGGAACTCTCCACCGTGTTTGGGCGTGTTCAGCACCTAAGTGCTGTCGTGAGTGTTCCAGTGGCAGCTCTTTCCCGGCAGGTGACTCTCCCCGTTGTCTGAGACAAGAGCATAAGCTCTGTTTGTGGCTCGTCTTACGTCTGGTCATATAAGATTGCACGTATGATACAAAACACCATTCAAGTAGGTCATATCTGATTTAAATCTGTTTTCATAATTCTGAGATGCTGTGAATTGAATCGTAAGGCACACAATCAATGTAATAGCAGCTCTTTGGCCAAAATGGGAAACAGCCCGTGTAAACCAATGTACTTGTCTTACGAAAACTTTCTTACAATTGTAATTTTTTTACAGTTCTTTTCTCTTCAGTATGACGGTAAAATTTTGATTCTTCATGATCCTTCTGACTCACTTTTGCCCACTGGCAGTTATGCTGAGCATCACGGTGACACTCTGCCTGGCTTTTGAAACTGGCCTGCTGATTGCCTCCAGAACGTGCCATGTCCTTCCTAGGCCTGGGTTAGGAAGCACAGACACACAGCCGTGGCCCTTGCACTTTTTCTTTCGTAACTGAATTACAATTCACTGGCCATTAAATTCTCCCTGTTTCCTACCACTGTGTTTATATCCAGGGTTGCAGCTCCTCTCCCACTTCATACCTATTTTTTTATTGAAATATAATTTGTGTACAACATTGTGTAAGTTTGGGGTATACAGTGTGTCGAGTTGATACATTTACACATTACAACACGATCAATACGGTAGTGTTAGCTGACACCTTATCACGCCACATAATGATCATTTCTTCTTTGCGTTGAGAACAATTAAGTGCTAGTCTCCTAGTAACTGTGAACTTTGTCATACGGTGTTGTTGACTGTCATCACCATGCTGTGCATTCGATCTCCAGAACTCGTTCATCTGCTCGTTGCAAGTTCATATCTGTCTTTTACGTCACTGATCCGGCCAGCTCTGTGCACGCCCCCATCTCTCTTGAGAGCATCACAGAAAGCTGGGCTTTGCCAACACCCACCCCACTCCCAGACCTCTGGCGCTCCCCGTCAGCACACTTGGTGCTCCCCACTGCACTGAGCACCAGCTCCACCCCCACGCCAGGCCGCCTGGGCCTCATGCTCTGCTCCTGCCACCCACTCCCCCCTGTCACCATGTCGTTCCCTCTACTCCAGCCACACTGGCGTTTTCTTGTTCTTGGAGCACCTCATGTTCATTTGAACTTTCTCTGCTACATGTCCTAGAGCTGCTGTACCAAATTCTTGTACCGAAGTTAACAGTTTAAACAATGTGCATGTAGTATCTTAACGTTCTGGAGGTCAGGAGTCTGAAACAGGTCTCCCCAGGCTGAGATCAAGGCGTCAGCGGGGCTGCATCCATTTCTGGAGGATTCAGGGAAGAATCCATTTCCTGGCCTTGTGCAGCTTTTAGAAGCCACTGCATTCCATGCCTTGTGACTCTCTTCCTCCGTCTTCCAAGCCATCTGCTTAGCATCTCTCTGCCCCTGCTTCCATCCTCACCTCACTTTCTTGGACCACAGCTGGGAAACTTTCACTGCTTTTAAGGATTCTCGAGATTGGTTAGATTGGGCCACCTGGATCATCCAGGATGCTCTCCCCATCTCACCTCAGTCACATCTGCAAAATCCTCCCCGCCATGTCAGGTATCACACTCACAGGTTCCAGAGATGAGAGCGTGGACATCACTGGGGACAGCTGCTCTGATGACCACACCACTGGACCCTCCCTGGCCTCACTCCTTCAGTCATGAGGTCTCTGTTCAGATGTGGCCATCAAACGCACCTTCCCCCTGCCCTGCCTTCCTCTTCATTACTCCCCACTGTGGGGAGTCCTTGCTTCCCCACGAGGCCTGCATCCCCCAGTACAGTACCAGCTCCCCAAGGCAGGGGCCTTGTTCACCACTGCATGCCTGTGCCCACAAAAGCGCCTGGCACAGCACAGGCACACGATAGGTACTGTTGAGTAAATTCAGGTTTCACCTCACAGCTGAAAGATGAGAAGGAATGAGTCAAAGAAAAGGGGGCGAACCTTCCAAACAAGGTGTTAAGTTCCCGGGGTCAGCGGGGACCAGGTCACAGAGGCTCTCAGTGCCAAGCGACACAGCTAATGGGTTTCAGTAAGGCCTGAGCAGACAAGATTAGAGCTTAGAGCTTCCACTACCTGCGGAGGACTGTGGGGAGGTGGTGCGCCAGAGCCTTGGCACAGGGACACAGACCCACTGAGTGTGAGTGTCACTGCCCCTTGGCTGCCTCACTGTTCGGTGCTCAGCACAGAAGGGGAGCTAGATGGAAAGAAGGAGGGCTGAATGGTGGGAAGGAAGGAGGGAAAGAAGACAGTGAGGTGGCCAACAGATGGTTGGGAAGCTGTTGAGAGGATGAGTGGGAAGGGGTGGGTGGGTGGGTGAGTACGTGAGTAGAAGAATGAGTGGCTGGGAAGGGTGGTGGCTGGGTCGTAGGTGCAGAGCAGGTCTGGGTTGTGAAAGATGAATTTTTGGCTGGAAGGGACAGTGGGATGGATGGATGATAGAAGGGTTGGATGGAAGGGTAGAAAATAGACAAGTGGACGTTTGGTTGGAAGGTAACAGACAGATGGGAGTAGGGGAATGGAGAGGTGGGTGGTTAGTTGGAGGGGGATGGGTGGATCATGGTTACCTGGACGGGAGCGGACAGGCCGATGGTTGGTTGGACAGGGATGGGTGGATGGCGGATGGAAGGTGACAAGTGGATGGGTGGTGATGGGGTGGATATAGGTAGACGGGTAGGTTGAGAGACGTAACGCTGATGGTGCTCAGCCGTAACCTCAGAAAACCTTGTGATTTCAGGAGGGCAACAGCCCCCAGGGGAGCAACCAGGGAGTCAAAATCACACCAGACCAGCAGAAGAGGAGCAGCTTTTTCCGATGTGTTCTTCTGTGAGGAACGCCGCCTTACTCTGAGCCCCGCTCAGCCGAGCTGACTGTGCCTGTCCTGAGTGAACCCCTCACTCAGCCGGGGCCCTCCCCCTGCACCGCCCCCGCCGCGGCCACCGGGCCCGCGGCCACCAGAACACAATTGAGAAATCGTTTATTTTAGTAACAGTCTGATCTTTTCAACTTTGGAGATGGAATAAGTTAAGAATTTGCTATTTTTCCTGCCACATCCGCTGAACGGCCCAGCATCGTGTAACTAGAGAGAAAGATGGAGTCGAGGTGTGACCGTGCACAGCAGCCAGCAGGGCAGGCCTCCATCTCTGGGCCTTGACACAGCTAAGCCCCATTGGAAAGCACGTCCATGTTCTCGGCCACAGAAGCGAGGCCCCCTCAGGCCTGCGAAGGTTCCAGGAGTGCCGGCTGTGTACCCTGAGCGAGGCGACCCACATCGGGACCAGGAAGTATCTGCCTGACAGGCCAGACACCCGCTTCACCTCTTCTCTCAGTTTTGGACAAGTGACAAAAATGTTATTTTTTTTCCCCTCTCTCTTTTTAACTGTCAAACCAAAGGGAAGCACAAATTAAGGAAATTCTGAGGAAAGAAGCATGGGGTGGCCCCACCTGTTCACCGCCAGGTTCGTGTGGTCCAGCCAGGCCTCGGGCACGCTCAGCGGGCCTCTCGGCAGTCCCCACCTGAGCACCAAGGGGACTCCGGACGCACCACAGGTGACCCCGAACATGCAACCACATACAGTCCAGCTGCGATTGGGGCGCCCGCCTCAGCCCCAGCACCCCCGCCCTTCGTCCTCCCAGCCTCTCCAAATCGGACGTTCTTTCTAGCTGAGATTTTTATTTTTCCAGATCTGTGGTGCCATGAAGTGATTCCGTCTCTGATCTCTAATGGCAGACCCAGGTGATCGGGGACATGCGCACACGCCCGGCTGGACGTGGCTAAGAGCGCGAGGCAGCGCCTGGCGTGGCCGAGGCCCCAGGTGGCCCGCGTGACAGACTGACCGCAGAACTTCTGGGGTGGTTCTTGACTGCAGTCGCATGGTTCTGCTTTGACAGCTCTGCCTTCCCACAGAGACTGCACAGCTTGGACCAGGGAACCAGGCCAGAGGGGCGTCATCAGGGAGCCTGTGTTTTTCTTTCTCCCCGCCTACCCCCAAGCTGCTGTCAGTCCAAGACATTGGGATCATAGTTTGCTCTTTTTTTGAATTAAAACCAACATACCAGCCATAGTCTGCTCTTCCCTGGGATCTCTTAACATGCTCTGTTTACATCAATAAATGCACTTAAGGAAAACAAATTAAAGCTCATGTTAAAGTTCGCGGAGTTTTCCGTCCACATTTTCCCAGTGGGCGCACGGATGTGGCCAGGTGGTAGATGGGGGTTCGCAGGAACCCGAGGCGGGCGGGGCCTCAGGTCTGGACAAGCTCAGAGCAGAGGCAGTGGCTTAGCCCAAGCTGGAGGAAACGGTCACCCCACGTTCTGAGGAGATGACACTGTTATCAAAGGGTTGACTTGGAGAAACAAGCTTCCCACCCCGCCCCCACAGCACTGCGCCCCTTTCACAGGAAACAAGGGGTGTCACCCCTCACGGCTCCGCCTCGGCATACCGCATCCCCAGCTGGCAGCGTCTGTCTCCAGCATGCCACTGGATTCTCTTGTCTTGGTCCCCACTGGCCCCCTTTCACCCCGTTGAGTGCTTGGTCTGAGCTCCTCTCCTCCCCTCTGCACACCTTCCTCCCTTGGCTGCTGGCACCCGGCTCGGCCACCGTTCGCCTCCCACCTCCCTGGTGGCTCCTCCAGGGCCCACTCCTCCAGACTGGCTCCCCAGGGAGTTCCTTCCACTCTGTTGGGTGTCCCCAAGACCACGCCCAGGTTCATGGTCCACTGGAACTCGGCACATAGCGGATGGGTTACAGCAGAAGGCTGCAAAGGAAGATTGGCACAGGGAAAAGGCACATGGGGCCACGTCCCGAGGAAACCAGGCGCAAGCTGCCAGGAGCCTTCTCCCTGTGGGGTCCTGCCCAATGTACTTAGTTCCTCTGTCGCCAAGCTGTGACCACACGTGTGAAGTGTGGTCCCCTGGGCACGCTCCTGAGAGACTCAGCGCCCAGGGTTTCTATTGGGGCTGGTCATGCCGGCCCCCTCTGCCCAGATGTACCGGAATCCCAGCTTCCCAGGAAGAAAGCAGGGCTTTAGCATAAAGCACATAGTTTGTACAGACCGTTCAGGCACAGTAGTGAGCCACCCATCCTGGGGGGAAAGTTGTGTCTCAGCAGAGGGAGCTGTTTCCCAGCCTCGTTCCCAGATGCCAGCCGAGAGCCAGCCCCACCCATAGGCCTTAGACATGCCAGGGACTCCGGACTGCGGGTCCAGCCCAGCCCCGACTCGGAGCTCTAGAGGCCCCTGGCCACCTGCCCACCGTCTGTCCCAATTCAGATGTCCAATCGGCGCCCTAAACAGAACACAGCCGAGAGAGAGCTCTTACCTTGGGCTCCGTCCTCCTCCCCCTCCCACACTGGAGCCACCACCCCCTGGACCTCTGTCCCAGCCTCTGCTTTGTCCTTCAGGGTGTTTTCAGGGTATCCATAGGAAATCGGAATCAGATGGTGTCACCCCCAGCTCCCTCTTGTACTTAAATACAACTCACGCCCTCACCGTGCGTGCCGGTGTGCTGGGCCCCTGCCCACCTCCTCCCTTTTCTCTGAGCATCCTCCCATGGACCACCCCACTCCAGCCCCACTCCTGCCTTACTACTTTCCCCCATACTCATCCCTGTCCCAGGGCCTTTGCACTGGCTGCACCCTCTGTCTGGCAGTCCTCTGAATTTACACACCCCACTGGTCCATCAGGTCGTGACATCCAGGGCCACCTATGCAGAGACCTCCCCCAACCACTTCCCTCTCTCCTCCCACCTCAACTTCTTGGTGGCGTTTATCAGAAGTCACTTGTTCTCATGGCCAACTCTGGGTGCCCCCTCAGCACATAAGCTCCGTGAGGACAGGGGCTTTGCTGTGTGTTCCTGCGTGGCCTGCGCCTGTAAATGAATGGAGACACACATGGCTTCCAGGGGTGGGCAGGGAGGGGCTCACCTCCTCCCTCCTCCACATCCCAGAGGGCAGCTCTCATCCCAGGCTTCTGCCTCTGGGCCCCAAACCTCAGCAAGGAGAGGGCAATGCAACTCAGAGGGGCTTGGGAGCCCTGCCATACACTCCTTTCCCCTGCTGGGCTTAGGGGCCTGCCCTGGGCGTCCCCGGCCTAGCTGCCATCAGCGTCTCTGGGGAGCTTTGTCACGGTCCCGTCCCCAGGACCTCCGGCCCCTGCTCCAGGAGGGCCCTGAATCTTGCTCTAAAACTCAGAGTGCCCAGTGATGCCTGGAAAATGGCCGCTTTAGAAGACCTCCGCTTTCTTTCCACTCCTCCCTGGAACCGCAGAATTCAGAGAAAGTGATGGCTAATGGCCATAAATAGCAAACGCTGGTTGGGCAGCCCCCTACATTCCCCCCTACCCCCCCCTTCCCAGCCCCATGCCTGGCTTGCTGCTGGGCCCTTCACAGGTCCTGGGTCAGAGGGAGCTGCCTGGGCTCCAGTCCCAGCCTGGCCTCAGACCCAGGGCTCAGCACAGCTGAGTGCTGAGCCTCAGTTCCCTCCTGTGTCAAATGGGCGTGGTCATAGTTCCCACCTCACAGGATGGCTGTGAAGAGCCCAAGGCTGAGCCGAGAGAGATTAGCAGCTGTCAACATCCTCCTCCTCAATAACATTGTCACCATCATTATCAGCATTAGCGTTAGCCTCCTTGTTCGTGTTGTGCCCCTAAAGAAGACTTCACTTCCCTTTTCTCATCTTGTCTCTAAGGGGGAACAAGTCATCCAAAAAGCTGACAGCTTCGAGCGGTGAGCGTTCCGTGCCGCAGCCGGGCAGGCGGAGCCCTCCAGGTCCTCAGTCCCACCTTGATTACACCCAGCCTCTCGCTCAGTCACCAGGTTTCCTTGTTCTAAGGACTCTGATGGGGTGGTGGGCAGGGAAGGGGCTGCTCAGCCATTGGCCCCTTGTGCTGAGAGAGGTGACACTGTGGCTTTTTTTTATATAATAGCTTTATTGAAATATAATTGACACACCATACAATTCACCCACGAAAGTGTGCAATTCAGTGGATTTTAGTAATTTGCAGTGTTGTGCAACCATTGCCACAGTCAATTTAGAACACTCTCATCACCCCGTCCCCATGAGCAGTCCTCCTCCCCTCCCCAGCCCATGGCCACCACCCGTCTGCTTTCTGTCTGTGGATCTGTCTGTTCTGGACGTTTCCTACACATGGAATCACGCACTGTGTGGCCCTCTGTGTCTGGCTTCTCTCACTCAGCATCACGTCTTGGAGATCCATCATATTGTACCTATGTCAGTGCTTCGTCCTTTTTATGGCTGGGTGCACGTTTTTTATCTCTCCATTCGTTGACGGATGTCTGGGCTGTCTCCACCTTTTGGACTCCTTGGCTGTGGTCTGCTCCTCAAGGTGCCGAGTTCATCCCCAACCCAGGACCTTTGGCTTGCTGTCTCCTCTTCCACTAGCCTTTCCTGCATGTGGCCCTGTGTGTCATCTGTCTCCCCAGGGACTGCAGGCCCCAGCAGGGCAGGGACAGTGCCCCTCTTGTCTTCTGCTTCATCTCCAGCATCTGGCGTGGTGCCCACAGCTGGAGCTCAACCAATGTTTGTGGCGTGAATAAATGAGTGCGTGAACCAATAGAATGGAGGCCCTGTAGGACTATAGAACCGAAAAGTTGCATGAAGCCTGGCGTTGGCAGAGCCTGACGCCCCACCCTGACAGCTATGGCCCCAGCATATCCCCAGGGCTGAGACAGCACTGTGGTCACCCACCCCGAGAGCCACACCCCACGGGGCTGTGAAAGTCCTGCTAACTAGCTGAGCCTCAGGTTGAAGCCCAACCCTGATCTAGAGGGGCCGGGGCTGACTCGGGGGGTCGGCCTTGGAGTCCCAGCCCCCATCTCCCTGCTGGTCCCCTTCCGGAAGTTCCAGGGGGGCTGTCGGTTGGAGGGCTGTGGTCACCACAGGATGGGGGCGAGTCTGTGGTGACCTTCTCAGGGGAGGACGTTCGTCTGTGGGAGGCCACATCCCCCAAGCAGGTCAGGGCAGTCGGGGCAGCGCTCTGCGGTGGAGCCTCAGGGGGCCGGCCCGGGTGGGCGGAGACGCCCCATGTGTCTGGAGCCTGAGCGCCACACACAGGTGGCCCTCGCTGGCCAGGCTTTCTAAGTGACAAGGGTCTCGGGTACTCTGGTCCCCTCCCCAGCAGCATTGCTCCTCGTCATCGAGGCTGGGAGGCGGCCCACGGCACAGTGGAAGGCCTGGAGGATCAGAGAGGCTCAGCGAGCGCCGCAGGCAGCCCAGCCCGTGAGGCCTGGAGCCCGAGCCAGGTACATGGGCCTCAGATGAGTCACAGTGCCGAGTCCTGGTGTTGCTACTCCTGACGGCCCGTGCTGAGTGCAAGAAGGTTGCCTCTCCTGTCACCCTCCCGTGACTGGGGAGTGCTACTAGTCTGCCCACTTCACAGATGAGGAAACTGAGGCCCAGAGAGGCAGAGCAACTCACCCAAGGCCACACGGGGTGAGTGACAAGACGAGTTCCCTGTGTCTTCTGCTTGGGCCTCGTTGACCTGCAGACTCCAGATAAGGCCGCCCCCCCCCGCTCTCGGGAGCAGGGGGCTGTGGGGGTGCCCAGCTGGAGCCTGCAGTGGGGGCTCTCAGGATGGGCTGGGCCGGGGAGATAGGCCCGCAGGGAGCCCCAGCTCAGCCGTGAGGGTCCAGGCCACTTCTGCCCGGGCGGAGGAGGAAGTGGTTTTGTCTGAGCGCTGGGGCAGGGGGAGGGGAGTCAGCCAGCGCACATCTGGGGCCCACAGGTCCCCATGCTCAGGGCCAGCACTGTGGAGGGGCCACCAAAACGTTTGAGTTTTTTAAAATCAGAAGAAAAAAATGAATCCAATAATAATGAATATACAATAATGAATCTAGCCTGGACTACCCTCGTCCTGATGCTTATACAGTTATAAACCACAATTTAAATGTGATGTTTTTTTCTACAGAGGAATTCATGACGTGGCCCTGTGCACACAGTGAGGCCCCAGCCTGTCCAGGCTCCATCCTGCCTCAGGGCCCTTGCGCATGCTCTTCCCTCCACCTAGAGCACACTTCCTGCACCCCATCAATCAAGTTGACTCCTACCTGCCCAGCTGCCCCTCCTCCAGATCATCTAGCCCCTCTGGGGGTTTTTGAACTCCAGTCCCCCCTTCCTGATAGGCTGTCATCTGAAACAGCAACCTTAATAGTTTCTCACTCCTCTTCATTGCTCGCTAGACTGGACATGCCGGGAGGGCAGGGCCTGCATCTGTCTTGGGGTCACCTCTCTGTCTTCTGAGGACCTGGCATACAACAGGCACTCCATAAAGGCTTGTTGATGTCTAGGTGCAGCCAGGGTGCTCCTCCACCTGCAGCCCAACCGCTTTATTGGACTGCAGACAGAGGGCGACTGGGGCTGTCCCGGTCCCACCCCCGGGGCTCACCTGCTTAAGAAAACAGGAACCTCCCTGGGGCAGCGCCCCGCCCTGCTGACGTGCAGACCCTGAACCGAAACCCAGGCTCCTGCAGGCACCGAGCACAGCCAGGGCCAGGGCCTCAGCCGCCCAGGGGTCTGCCAGGTACGTGCCCCAGGGGGACCCTCCATCAGCCGCGGCCCACCTCCGGCTGCCCTGCTTGGCCTCCAAGAGCCTCAGCCCCATCCTAGCGCTCGAGAAGACGGAGCATGGGCCCCTGGCCCGGGAGGGATGGGCTGGCGGGGACCAGAGGAGCTTGAGGCGTTTTCCGGGGGCACTGGGAGGTGACCACTGGAAGGGGAGCTGGGCTGGGGAAAGGACGTGCCAGGCAGGGGAACAGCATGTGCAGAGGCGGGGAGGGGAGAGAGCTGAGTCAGTTTTGGGTAGAGAGCGAGGATGTCCTTAGGCTGGAATGTGGCAGCCAAGGAGGCCAGGGAGGCCCCGGGCCGGGGTCGGGAGTCTGAAACGTGGTGAGGTTCGTGCCTCAGCAGTTAGGACAGTTATTCATGTCTATTCAAGAAGAGGTGTTATTTATCAGCAAACTCCCTGCACCCTCCTCTGTGCCCGCCCCATGCCAGGCGATGCTGGGGACTCAGAAAGGTCCAAAAGAACCTAGCCCTGGGCCCGGGCCCCAGGGCCCCAAATATGGAGCAGACAGAGCCAGACACAGGCGTTCCAGCTCCGTGAGATAAGGCTAGGCCAGAGGCAGGAACGGTGGGGAAGGTGGGGGACAGAGAAGGGTGCCAGGGCTTTGTCTAGGGGAAGAGGCAGGAAAGCTGCGTGGAGGGGGAAGTATTTTTGTTGAGTCTTGAAGGATATGTAGGCGTTCTCCCAGGTAGAAAAAAGAAGTCTGTAAACATTACCCCATGCTTGGTCACAACTGGATTCATGAATATTTATCATATACTTATACAGTGCCTAGCTCTGTAGCAGCTATACTTTCCTAGGTTAAATATCATCATTATCCCCAAATTGCAGATGAAAATACAGGCACAGAGAGGTTAAGTGACTTGCCCAAGGTCACACGGTGGCTAAGTGGGGGAGCTAGGGCTTGAGCCCAGGCTGTCTGGCTCCAATTCCAGACTCTTGATTGCTGTGTCACCCTCCTTTATTAGACATTTCTTAGTGGATCTATTTAAGTTTCCTTGCCACAGAATCCCCTGGGGCCGCTCCCCAGGGCGTGCTTGCGTCTGTCTTCCAGCAGGAGAAAGTCAGTGTTGACTGAGGTTGTCCACACACCCCCTCCCTGTGGAAACAGCCTGGGAACAGCGACTTTCTGCGATATTGAAATATTAGCCAGGCCAGGGGGGGACCGAGCTTCAATTCAGAGAGCATCAAGGGTGAGAGTGAGGGGTTGTGAGTGGACGGTCCAGCTGGGCACGAGCCCTGTGCTGGTGAAACCCTGACCTGATACTGTTCCGCCGTTCCGCGCTGTTTTCTCTCTCTCTGTCCGCCTCCCTGCCATTGGCTCACAAGGTCCAGTGGCACCTTGGGCTTAAAACTGTTGAGGACACGTGTGAATTAGCGTCGCACCTGACACGTTACAGGTGTGCCCTCAGTGGCCACCAGGCCAGCCCGGTGGCCAGTTAAGTTCACATGCTCTGCTTTGGTGGCCCGGGGTTCCCTGGCCCGAATCCCGGGTGCAGACATGGCTCCACTTGGCACGCCATGCTGTGGCAGGTGTCCCACATATAAAGTAGAGGAAGATGGGCACAGATGTTAGCTCAGGGCCAGTCTTCCTCAGCAAAAAGAGGAGGATTGGCAGCAGTTAGCTCAGGACTAATCTTCCTCAAAAAAAAAAAAAGAGTGAAAATCGGAGTAAGTGGCCACCACGTGTGGTGACATTGGTGGCAGAAGCAACCGTTTGGGGCCACCTCTCTCTAGTGTGTGACGAACCCGTGGCAACCCTCTGTGGTGCCTGCTGTGTGTCAGCCGTCTCTCTCACTCACGGACCATTTTGCCATCTCCACAAGCCTCCAGGGACCTTGATGGTTACTTAATATTTAGATAAACTCAGTTCTTAAACTTCAAAGCATGCATCTACACAGGGGCTTCTTGCCACTTGCAGAATGGCCTAAGGATAAAGGGAAAGGGAGCAGCCTTGGAGAATGTTTGGGAGGAGTCCACGAATGAAGGTGTGTCAAGTGCCAGTGGATAGTAGCTGCTCACGAAACACAAGCCAGTTTCAAGCCCGTTGCTCTGAGCAGCCTGGAGGGCTTCTCAAAGGAGGAGGCACAGGGAGCCGCAAAAGTAGAGCAAAGCTGGGGGTAGACCAGCCTTGACCGTCTCTCCTCCCTCCCGCCCCAGGTCTCCCCCACAGGAAGCCATGACCGAGGCCAGCAAGCTGCCCCCGCCGCTGCCCCCACGACTCGACTGGTTCGTGCAGACGCAAGTGGACCAGCTGGCCCAAGGAGGGGTCCCCACGTGGTTCCATGGTGCCATCTCGAGAGAGTGAGGACACACCCACACCTTCTGCCCTGCCCTTCACCCTCTTTCCTTGTCTACCTCCCCCGCCCCAGGCAGGTTTTCACTGCAGAATCTGAGCTCAGCTCAGCTCAGTGTGTGAAGAGCATGAAAAGGGCTGTGGAATCCTGGGCTTGAATCCTGCCTCCTTGCTGCGTGACCTCGGGCAAGTTACTTCCCCTGTCTGGACCTCAGCTTTCTCTATACAAGTGATCTGGCAGGCCCTCGCCCGCGTTCAGCGACGCCAGGCATCACCAGTCAGTGATGGCAGGATGCAGCCTCAGAATCCTTCTTAACACAGTGCCCCAAACAGCTGCCCTCTATCCATCAGGAGTATAACCAGCATCACTTTCTGCATCAGACTGGGCTCTGAGGACATGAACAAACTCACCTAGTTAGTCACCACAAGGGCCTGGCTCTAAACAACTGGAGAAAAGAACATTTACTGCCCCTTTCTGCATGGGGGAAATAGAGAAAACATCGTGAAAGCCACGGAGAGGAGGAGCAGGCGTGTCTCTGAGTTCTGGGGCACACCGACAGAAACAGAACGTGAGCCGCACGTTGCGGTCTTAATTTTTCAGTAGCTGTGGTCAAAGAAGTGCAAACAGGTGGAATTCCTTTGAATCCCATCTTTTATTTACCCCGGTGCATCATAGCCAAGACATCATCGTTTCTACACGGGATCTGTGCCACAGAGTCATTCGTGAGACGCTGCACGTGCCTTTATTTGTCTGCAGTCTTCAAAACCTGGTGTTTTGTCCCCCAAAGCCTGTCTTGATTCGGACCAGCCACGTCCCAAGCGCTCAGTAGCCACACGTGGTCAGTGGCCTCTGTGTTGGACGACGTAGCCCACAGGCCCCCATCTTATCCCACAGAAGGCCACCCTCCTCTCTGCAGCCCCCGAAGGGGTGGGAGCCGTCCCAGGGAGGAGCGGGCGAGAGAGCACTCGCCGGGCACCACCCCCACTCCGGGCCACGCGGGTCGCCTGCTCTCGCCGCGGCAGCGCTGGGCGCAGCGTTCGCTCTGCCGTGAGGAAGGCCAGCCAGGGAGCGACCCTCGCCGGACACCACACAGCTGAGAAGAGCAGAGCTGGGTTTGAGCTCAAGTGCGTCTGAGACCAGCTCCTGCTCGTGGCCTCTGACGCCCTGAGCCACCCAGACGCGCCTCACTGGGGGTCCCAGGCACTGGGAAGGCGGGCAGGGGCTGTGGGAGACGGGAGGAGGTCGGGCCTGGGGTCAAGGTTGTCAGAGGCCTTCCGCCCCCTCTGGGGCGCCTCCCTGTCCCCAAAGACTGCGAGGTCTGAGCCAGCCAGGAAGCAACGTGGCTGCTGCAGAGTGTGCAGTGCTGGGGCGCCTGGGGACCAGGCGTCTGGCCGGACACTGGGCAGCTGGACCTCAGCCGTCTCCCTCCTGTTGTGCCTTCCAGGAACGCCGAGACCTTGCTGGAGTCACAGCCACTGGGGTGCTTTCTCATCAGAGTCAGTCACAGCCACGTGGGCTATACGCTGTCCTACAGGTAAGGCCGGGCGAGGGGCCAGGACAGGGCCCGCAGGGCTCTGGGGCTTCCCAGGAGGGGCAGGCTGTGCTTCATACCTCAGCTTCTCCAAGAGCAACTAGTGTGGGGGTCTGGGCAGGTCTGGCTGAAGAGTGAGTGGCTGCAGGTCCAGCTGTAACCAGCAGACATGAGCCTGGGGATAAGTGAGTGAGATGGTTTGTCTGAGAACAGGGGCTGCTGGGGGCCCAAGAGTGGCTACTGCCCTTCCCCTAATCCCCTCCCCCTCCACCGTCCACTTGGCAACTCTCTGACTCCACCCCGGGGCGGGGGATGTGTTAGGAAAGCTCACGACAGTCTGGCTCCTTGGGGCCTCAAAGCTGATCTGGCATCTCAGAAGATTCAGTAGCACAAACTGCTTTTTGAAAGGACTGGAGGCCAAAGGAATGAAAAATCCAATGGCTCCCTTACAAAGTTACCTACAGTGGGAAAAACTTAGGCCTTGAGTCACACAGTCCAAGGCTTGGCTCAGCCACTTACATGCTGTGTGACCTTGGAAAAGTTACTCAACCTCCCTTAAAGTCCTCATCACTAACATGGAATACTAAAATTAATTCAGTGTTGATGTGAGGATTAAATAAGATACAGTAAGCACATAATGAGCCATTAATAAATGTATCATTAAGAGAGCGTTTATTGAGCACCTGCTGTGTGCCAGGTATACAGCCTTAGGCTGGGGCCTGACTCAAATTTTCATTGCTATCACTGCTATTGTTAATTGACTCCTGGCAGGCGCTGAGCTAAGCTTTTTCATGCAATAGCTTGTTTTGTCTTCACAAGGACCCCTGAGGTCAGCCTTAGTGCTCCATGTTACAGATGGGGAAACTGAGGCACGGGGCTCACCTGCCCAGTGTCACATGGCTAATGAGTGGGAACCTGGGCTGTCAGGCTGCAGCCTCGGTGCTGCCAGCTCAAGGCTGGGGGGACACGGACAGAAGGAGGGAAGTGGTCTGTCCCAGCCGCGGTGCTGTCTTCACAGGGCCCAGAGCGGCTGCCGCCACTTCATGGTGAAGCTGCTGGACGATGGGAGCTGCACGATCCCCGGACAGGAGCTGGCTCATGCCTCGCTGGACGCCCTGGTCGCCTTCCACCAGCAGCAGCCCTTGCGGCCCCACGGGGAGCTGCTGACACAGCCCTGCGGGCAGGTGAGGGCACACCCGGGACTGCAGCCACCTCGAGGGGCCGAGCCCTCCCCCCCCCCACCGGGCTCAACTTGCTCCCAATCGCCCCCTAAGGCTCCCGTGAGTCTCTCACTGCCATGGTCCCTGCCCTTGGTCCCTGTGCCTCTGCAGCTGACGTTTATTACAACAGCCCACGTGCCAGGATAACCTTGGTGGAGCCGCCAACGCAATTCCCTTAAAGGCGCGGTGGGCGAGGTCTGGGCCCTCCCGCCAAGGGAGGACTGTTCCTTCTAGGGTGGGAGGACGCGGTCCGGGCCCTCAGCCGCCGAGGGAGGACTGTTCCTTCTAGGGTGGGAGGACGCGGTCCGGGCCCTCAGCCGCCGAGGGAGGACTGTTCCTTCTAGGGTGGGAGGACGCGGTCTGGGCCCTCAGACCTGCTGTCCTGGCCCCTGCTTCCTCATCAGCGCTGTGTTTGGTGCAGCTCATGAGCCCCCACTCCCAGGTTCAGCGTCCCCAGCCCCATCCTGTCCCCCCTCCTGGGGCTGAGCTGCCTGTCCTTCTCCTCCACAGAAGGATCCGGCCTGCGTGGATTATGAGGATCTCTTCCTTTACTCCATGGCCTTGGGGGAAGAACCTGCCAGCCCCGCCCATGGCCCCAGGGAATGTCAGAATCCCCGCTCCTGTCCTGTGGCCTCACTTGAGGAGGTATGTGACTGAAAGCTGGCACTTCCCACCTAGGGTCCAGGGAGGAGCAGAGCTGGCCCCAGCTGCCACAGGAGACTTTCTAGAATGAAGGTTGGAATCTGTAGCTCTGAGCTTAAAGCCTTTCAGTGACTTTCCAAGGCCCTGAGATTAAAACCCCAAGTATCACCTCAGCTCCTCCTTCTGCCCGTCACCAGCCCCAGTCCAGCCCCTCTGCTGCCCCTTTTGTTGTTCAGATACATCAAGCTAACCACAGGAACTTTACCCGTGCTGGTGCCACCCCAGGGCCTTTGTACGTGCTGTGTGCCCTGCCCCCACAGTTCTCATGCATGGCTGCTTCTTTCAGTTCTTCAAGTGTCTCCCTCTCCAGTCTCCAGGCCTGAAGTTGGCCCCCTGCATTCTCTATCACATTCCCCTGTTTATTCACGGCAGAGCACTTTGCACAGTTTGAAGTCTTGTTTATTTATGGGTTTCATGTTTCCTGACTGCCTCCCCCGTCAGACTGTGGGCTCTGGGAGGCCTCGCAATGTGTCGGCTGCTTCGCCTCTGCTTCTCCTGCCCTCGGAGAGGACCTGGCACATTGAAGGTGCTCAGCCAATGAATCCGGGGAGGAGAGGAATGAGTCAGTGAGTGACCCCAGCTCCTCAGGGCTGATCGGGCCCCTAGGTCATGGCCTAAGTGCCCTCCAGGCCCTCCGCACAGCATGGAAGTTCGGACAGTAATGGAAATGAAACAGACTCATGTGACAGGCATTGGCAGTTTGGGGGCGAACAGACAGGGCAGATCTCCTGGAGGAGGTGGCATAGCTCTGGGACATGCAGGGTGAGGAGGAGCCAAACACACTCACAGATTTAGGCAGAGCATTCCAGGCAGAGGGAAGGGCACGTGCAAAGGTCCTGAGGCTTAGTGTGCTTGAAAAACAGAAGAACAACAAAAGCCAGTGTGTGGACGGAATGGAGTGAGTGAAAAGGAGATTGTTGGGAGGTGAGGGGCCAGGGTCTGCAGGGGCCAATCGAGCAGGGCCTCAGGGCCAGAGTGAGGAGCTGGGGCTCTGTTCCAGGTGTGCCAGGAGCCACGGGAGTGTGAGAGCGTGGTCAGATTGAGGGGCTTAAATGCTCCCTGTGGCTGCTGGCTGCAGAAGAGGGTGTCTGTGGGCAGTGGTGGAGGTGGCAGGAAGGAGGCAGGGACAGCATCCAGGTGGGAGGGACCAGAAAGGGCGCCCTGAGGGTGCAGAAGGAAGTGGATATTTGGGAGCTTGCTGGCTTGGAGGCGGAGGATGGGAGGGAGAGGGACGCTGTCATGGCCTGAGCCCCCGGTCCTCCATTATTTGGGAGATGACCACTACAGGAGCAGGGAAGCGGGGCAGGAAGAGAGGGCCTCCTGTGGAGGGCGTGCTAATGAGCTGGCTGCCGGGCCTCAGGCTCCCGGGGAGGGCTGGGACTCCGCGGGGCTGCTCTCCAGTTGTCCCGCCTCAGGGCGAGGGGGCTCGGGGACTTATCCTCCAGCTGCCACGGTCACTGGGCAGCTGCTGTTCCTGGGAGATTTTAATTCTCTGGCACTGCTGGGCTGCAATGTGCGGACACAGTGGGCTCTGGTGGCCAGAGAAGGCCCCAGGGCAGAGTCCAGGTGCTGGCACTCGGGAGTGGAGCTGCAGGCACTGAAGTGCTCAGGGCACAGAGGACGCGGGCAGGGCAGGGACAGGACCTGCCACAAATGACACCCAAGGTTTTGGCCTGAACAACCAGGTAGATCAGGGGTCAGCACACTGTGGCCCAAGGGCCACGTCCGGCTGCCGCCTGTTCCTGTATGGCCCGCGGGCTCAGCATGCGCTAATGTTTTTGAATAGTTAAAAAAAGCCCAGGAAAAATCTATTCCATGACCCATGAAAATTGGAGGAAACTCAGGCTTCTGTGTCCATAGCTTTACCGACCGCGCTCGCTCGTGCGCAGCGGCTGTCTGGCCCCCACGCAGAAAGCCCTGCGCTCTAGCCCTTACAGACACCGTTCCCTGGCCTGGGGGACAGGCAGCCGCTTCCCAAGAGAAGGACGGGCCAGAGGCTCCCTCGGGGACGTTTCTCAGCCACAGGGCATCTGGGGGGAACCAGGTCCCCATTCCTGGGGCAGCGTCCAAGCTTTGCTGGGCAGGCTGGCCCGGGTCTCACCCCATCTCCGTTTCAGGCCTCCGCAAAGCCGGTCCTGCTCCGTGGGGCCCAGCAAAGGCAGCCAGAGGCAGAGCCGACCCGCGCGCCCCCCGAGGCGGCCGCTTCCTCCCACCCCCAGAGGACCCCTCTGGAGAAGGCCTGCCGGAAGCTCTGGAGGAACCTCAAGACAGTCCCCGAGACGGGCAGGAAGGTCCAGCAGCAGCTGAAAGCCCAGCTGGCGGCCGCAAGCCTGTCGTCGGTCTGGGACACCGGGCGACCCGCAGGGACCCGCAGCTCAGGGGCCCGGGCGGGCGGCGCGGCCGGGGAGGAGGACGACGGCCCGGACCCATCTGTGTCCACGTGGCTCACAAGCCCCGCACAACCCCAGGCTCCCAGAGACAGAGACGGCTCGTCCGGGAGGTCGGCCAGCTGGAGCAAAGCGACCTCAGGGGCCAGGGGCTGGCACCAAGTGGTCATGAGGGCCCTGTCCCAACCAGAGCCCAGGGGCTCGGCAGAGCCCCAGAAGGACTGGCTCCCGGAGGAGTACCGCCCCCCACCGCCCTTCGCCCCTGGGTACTGCTAGAGAACAGCTCGCCTGGCTCTGGGGCCCGGGCCCCCGGGGCTGCTCGCACCCGGACCCCTCGCTCTCTGCCACTGCCCCCAGCCCTGAGGAACCTCAGAAATGCAATAAAGACACTGCCTGGTCTGGGCCTGCAGTGGTCAGCGGGCGCCTGGTTATTTGAGGAAGAACGAGACTACCAGCCGGCTGCAGCACTGGTCTGGGGCGCCAGGCCTGCCACATTTGTGATTTCCTTCAGGCCTCTGAGCCGGCCCGTTAGGTAGGCTCATCCTGCACATTTTAAAGAAGAGACCGGGGTTCAGAGAGGAGGAGTGGCGTGGCCAAGGTCACATGGCTATGTGGTGTCAGCACCAGGATTTGAAGCTGGGTCTCTTCCAGCCCTTTCCCTGCATGCCCTGCGCCCAGGCTCAACCCCAAGTGCCCCCCTACAGGCAGGGCTGTGCACACCTCCCTGGGGTCTCACGCAGATGACGGCCATGAGACTCTGGGAGGGGGCCGGCATGCAGGAAGCACCCCGACCCCTGTCAGCTTGAGGAGCAGCATGTGAGTCCCTTTCTCTCATAAAGGGAGAGGTGGCCCAGGACCATGATTGGGGTGTGCTCTCGAGGGAGTCCTGGGTCACAGGGCTGTGTGACCTTTGGCAAGTCACTAGACATCTCTGGGCCTGTTTCCTCATCTTGAAAGTGGGGAGAAGAGCAGTCCCTCTTTCTCTGGACGAACCTGCAGGTTGCATGTAAGACCAGGGCTTTGGCACACAGTAGGTGCTTAATAAATGGTGGTTAGGGTGGGAGTGGTGCTCTAGAACCATGCACAGTGGAGGTGTGTGTCAAGGTCCCTGAGGGCTGGCTCGGCTGCAGGGATGACCTTGGATTGACTGGGGCCACAGACAGGGTGCCCAGGATGACCGCATGTGGACTGGGCCTGGGGCCTCTTGGGTGAGGTGGGCCTGGGCTCAGGTCGGCCTCTGCAGCCGACTTAAGGTGCAGCCTTGGGCCAGTCACTCTGTTCCCTCTGAATGAAGCCTGACGGCTCCTCGGCCAACGCTGCTGGGACGCCATCGGCAGCCAATGCGATGGCAGAGAGACAGGCGCTTCATAAACTGTAAGGCACTGTGCCAGCCTCAGTGAATGTCACTCCCACCCCCACACCCCCCAGCGGTTGTAGTGAATCAGCAGGGAGTTAAAGCTTCAGTCCCCTTGAGGAGTTCAGGGACCGAGGCAAAGAGGGGCCTCGCGCAGTGGTGGCAGGGCTTGGCCTTGGGGGTCCTGGGGTGGGGCAGCATGGGCCTGGTCTCTGCCCCGCAGTGGAGAGAAATCTGGAAGTCAGCCCCTTCCCTGTCTAAATGGGGCCCAGAGCGGGTGCAGTCACCCCCAGGGTCCCAGGGCGAGGACGGGGGTGGGAGCTCAGGCCTCCTTGGCCCAGCCCCAGCTTTAAGATGGAAAACACGGGAGGCGGGACCAAGATGGCAGAGTGAGTAGTCTTCTTTGTCTCTCCCCCTTCAAATCTACAACTATTTGGACATTCACCGGTTAACAAAGGATATCCATATAGCATCTCAAGACGCCTGAGAGGGGCTGGCCCCGTGGCCGAGTGGTTAAGTTCGCGCGCTCCGCTGCAGGCGGCCCAGTGTTTGGTTCGAATCCTGGGCGCGGACAAGGCACAGCTCATGAAACCACGCTGAGGCAGCGTCCCACATGCCACAACTAGAAGGACTCACAACTAAGAATATACAACTATGTACCGGGGGGCTTTGGGGAGAAAAAGGAAACAAATTAAAAAAAAAAAGATGCCTGAGAGACTCGTGCTGCTATACATCGGAAGGTGGACGGACTTCCCCCTGGGAAGAGGTGGAGATAGGTGAAAACTCTCTGACCCCTGACCCCCAGACAGCCTAGCACCTGCAAGCGACTTTCCTCCAGCGGACTCCCCCATAACATCGTCACGCACCAAGGGTGGGAGTGTGCGTGCACCAGCAGAGTGATGGTGGAAACAGGTAATTACAGCCCTAGCTAAGCCCCCCGCGATTACACCTAAGCCCAGGGGGAAACTCCAGGGTCCCGCAGCTGCCGGCAGGGAAAGCCTCTACTCGCCATTAGCGGGGAGGCCCCGCCCAGCATTCAGAACGCCGGGAAGCTCCCAAAGACCGGAATCCACGGCAGCGCACCAGCCCGCCAGCTGCTACCGGGCCCACAGACTCTGGCCGTGTCCCAGACAGGGCAAGGGGCTCCCAGAGATTCCGTGGGAGTGGTCTGGGGCTGGGTGGAGCTCCAGCGGAACGGCTACGTGGCCCAGGGGGAACTCCAGGTTCCCACAGCAACCTCAGCAAAAGCCTCTACATAGCACTAGTGGAGAGGCCCCGACCGGCAATCACAAGGCTGGAAGGCCCTGGGGCAAAAGTAGCACAGCGAGGTGAGCTAACCACAGAATGCAGGAGATGCCCATAGCTCTGCTGGGACCTATAGTGGACAAGTGAGATCTTGTAGGCTCTGACAGTGACAGAGCTGCGAATATAGGTGATCCTGCTCCCACTGCTGGGAAAGCCCACAACACCACTGCAGACCCTAAGGAGGGAGCACATCTAGGTGGTCTGCAACAGTAGGCACCAGCAGCCCAAAGCCCCCTTGCAACTTCCGCAACAGCTGAAGAGGGACCCCACAGGGCCACTGTGACTACGAGGAGGGGCCCAGGCCCAGTTAGCAATAGCTGACAGTGTTCCTGGTCGGTGCAGTCTAAACAGCTGCTCCCCACCCCCCACAGCAGTAGAAACAAGTGGAAGCAGTAACTAAACTCTATGTCTATGTGGTGGCACAAATCCATGCTATCAAGCAGTATGAAAAAATATATGAAATCTCCAGAACAGAAGGAAGATGACAAATACCCAGAAAACAATCCCAAAGACAATGAAATCTATAACCTAAATGACAATGATTTCAAAACAGCCATTATTTAAAAACTCAATGAGTTAAAAGAGAATTCAGATAGACAGCTCAATGAGTTCAGGAGCTATGTCACAAAAGAGCTTGACACTATAAAGAAGAACCAATTAGAAATACTGGAGATGAATAACACAATGGAGGAGATTAAGAAAAATCTGGACTCTCTGAACAGTAGGGTTGATAATATGGAGGACAGAATTATCAATTTGGAGGATAGGAATATAGAAATGCTGCAGACAGAGGAGGAGAGAGAACTAAGACTAAAAAGAAATGAAGAAAGTCTCCAAGAATTATCTGACTCAATTAGGAAATGCAACATAAGAATTATAGGTATCCCAGAGGGAGAAGGTATCCCAGAAGGAGAAGGGGGCAGAAAGCCTGTTCAAAGAAATAATGGCTGAGAACTTTCCAAACTTGGGGAGAGAGATGGAACTTCATGCAACAGAAGCCAATAGATCTCCAAACTTTATTAATGTAAGAAGACCAACCCCAAGGCATATAGTAGTGAAGCTTGCAAAAGTCAATGACAAAGAGAAAATACTAAGGGCAGCCAGGCAGAAGAAAATAACTTACAAAGGAACCCCAATAAGGCTATCAGCAGATTTCTCAGGAGATACCTTACAGGATAGAAGAGATTGGAATGAAATATTCAAAACTCTGAAGGACAAAAACCTGCAGCCAAGAATACTCTACCCAGAGAAAATATCCTTCAAATGCGATGGAGAAATACAAACTTTCCCAGATAAACAAAAGTTAAGGGAGTTCATTGCCACAAGACCTCCTCTTCAAGAAATGTTCAGGAAGAACCTTATACCTGAAAAATCAAAAAAAGGAAAGGGGTTACAAGATTCAGAACAAAGGAGATAAGCAGAAGGACGATAACAGAAAGTAGCAGCTCTCCGTCAGAGCAGGTTAGCAAAAGTTAAATAAAACATTAAAGATAAACGGAACAGAAACACCAAGAATAAATATAACCTAGTCACTTTAACCACAAACTCACAACACTAAAACGAAGAGGAAAAAAAATCTGACAATAACAACCTAGAAAGGAAAGAGAAAAGGGATGGAACGTTTTAATTTAAGGAAATAAGAGGCTATCAGAAAAAGAACTATCTCAACTACCAGATGTGTTATACAAACCACCTGGTAACCACTAAACAAATAACAAGAATAAAGACAGAAATTACAAATAAGAAGAAAGCCAATACAGAAATTTACCTACCTGAATTAGGAATCCAAAAATCATGGGACGAGAAACAAAGGAAATGCAAAATAACCAAAAATCAAGTGATAAAATGGCAGCAGTAAGCCCTCACATTTCAATAATCACTGTAAATGTAAATGGATTGAACTTTCCAATCAAAAGACACAGAGTGGCAGGATGGATCAAAGAACAAGATCCAACAATATGCTGCCTCCAGGAAACACACCTCAGCCCCAAAGACAAACACAGACTCAGAGTGAAGGGATGGAAGACAATACTCCAAGCTAATAAGGAACAAAAGAAAGCAGGTGTCGCCATACTTATATCAGACAAAGTAGACTTCAAAGCAAAACAGATAAAGAAAGACAAAGAGGGGCAGTATATAATGATAAAAGGGACACTCCAACAAGATGACATAACACTTATAAATATATACACACCCAACACAGGAGCACCAAAATTGGTAAAGCAACTATTAACAGAACTAAAAGGAGACATCAACAACAATACAATAATAGCAGGGGACCTCAACACCCCATTAACATCAATGGATGGATCATCCAGACAGAAAATCAACAAGGAAATTATAGAATTAGACCAGATGAACTTAATAGATATATATAGAACACTTCATCCAAAAACAGCAGGTTAAACATTCTTCTCAAGCACGCATGGAACATTCTCAAGGATAGACCATATCTTGGGAAACAAAGCAAGCATCAATAAATTCAAGAGGATTGAAATAACATCGAGCATCTTTTCTGATCATAATCCTATGAAACTAGAAATCAACTACAAGAATAAAGCTGGGAAAGGGGCAAAAATGTGGAGGCTAAACAACATGCTACTGAACAAACAATGGATTATTGAAGAAATTAAAGAAGAAATCAAATATTATCTGGAGACAAATGAAAATGAAAACACACCGTACTAAATTATTTGGGACACAGCAAAGGCAGTCCTAAGAGGGAAATTCATTGCAATACAGGCTCACCTCAAAAAA